TTCTGCATGCATGTTCGCGGCAGATCCTCACTTTTTGTGAGCAAAGTGTTCCAGTTTCGTTTTGCCATTGTTCAAGTGACCCTCCCCCCTTGCGTTCATCCTGCTGTTTCCCGGTGTCCCGCTTTTGTCGAAGTTGAATTATTTTGCGTTTTTTGCAATTTGAATTCCCCAGGATTACAGTCCTGCGGGGGGAAACGACCCGCTGGAGAAGGTTTACGCGGCGACTGTGGAGGAAGTGCTGAGCGGTGACAGCGTGATTTTGAAACTTCCTTCCGGGACTTCTCGCCGCGTCTACTTCGCCTCCATTCGCTGCTTGAGGCCCGCAGGCCTCAACAAGACGCAGTCGAGAGAAGACGAGGCCATAGCCTTGGAGGCGAAGGAGCTCGTGCGGAAGAAGACAATTGGAAAAATGGTCAAGGTCCGGCTTCTTTGCTCTTCTTTCGAAACTTCTAGTTCATTTATTTGCAATTTAAAACCAATTCCCTCTCCGGAATTCAGTGCCCCGGCGCCAAGAGAGACGCAGAGGGCAACCTGGTCCCAGAGCCTTTCGCAGGTCTGCTGCTGCTGCTGCTGCTGCTGCTGCTGCTGCTGGTTGTGCGTGGGTTTTATCTTTGTGCTTGTTATTTGCCTGTTGCTGTTTTTCGTTTATTCATAAATTGTTTAATGTGTTTTATTCCGCGCGTTTTCGCGATTTTGAAAGGGACAGGAATTGGCAGAAAGGCTCTTGCTGCAGTTCATTTCTTGAGTTTTATTTCAATTATTTTTCTGCCTGCTGCTGCTGTTTTCTTACTTTTGTTTTTCTTCGTTTTTGTTCTTTTTTGTCTTTTGAAATATCCTCGAGGCGAGTTTATTCCGCCTTCGCCTCCTTGCAGCTTCCTCCTGTTGACTGCTTCAATTCAACTTCTTGAAAGCCCACCTTGTTGGGGTTTTTCTTGTTTTTTTGTTCATTTATTTTGCAATTTTGATGTTTTTCGGGAAATATGCGCAGCGGAAGCTCGCTTTTTCGTGGAGATCCGGCTGTTGAATCGGGACGTGACAGTGCGCGTGGAAGGCAGCGACGACTACGGCAACTTGCTGGGCACTGTCTACCACCCCAACGGGCTAATTAGTTTACTTTTATTGTCAAATGGATTTGCCCGCGTCAATAACGCCACGGCGCAGCTCACAGAAGAGCCCCAGAGGCTCCGCCAAGCCATGAAGGAGGCCCAGGCCAACCGCCTCAGGCGGTGGAAGGTAAACGCGCTTGCTGTTGCTGCTGCTGTTGTTGTTGTTATTTTTGTTGCTGCTGCACGCTTTTATTGCGAAAAAGCTGCTGCAGTGCATGCGAAATTATACGCTTGACAGCCAGAAAGCCCAGATAACCGCAGGATCGCTTTCGTTCCCGCTGCGGGTTTAATCTCTTGTTCATATTCACGTTTGGCATCAGCCGCGATCTGGGGCGTATTTGCGCTGTTTCTGCAGCTTAGTGCTGTTTGGTTTGAAGCAATTATTATGTAATGTTTAGGTAATCATTTGCTTGTTGTTTCTGCATGCATGTTCGCGGCAGATCCTCACTTTTTGTGAGCAAAGTGTTCCAGTTTCGTTTTGCCATTGTTCAAGTGACCCTCCCCCCTTGCGTTCATCCTGCTGTTTCCCGGTGTCCCGCTTTTGTCGAAGTTGAATTATTTTGCGTTTTTTGCAATTTGAATTCCCCAGGATTACAGTCCTGCGGGGGGAAACGACCCGCTGGAGAAGGTTTACGCGGCGACTGTGGAGGAAGTGCTGAGCGGTGACAGCGTGATTTTGAAACTTCCTTCCGGGACTTCTCGCCGCGTCTACTTCGCCTCCATTCGCTGCTTGAGGCCCGCAGGCCTCAACAAGACGCAGTCGAGAGAAGACGAGGCCATAGCCTTGGAGGCGAAGGAGCTCGTGCGGAAGAAGACAATTGGAAAAATGGTCAAGGTCCGGCTTCTTTGCTCTTCTTTCGAAACTTCTAGTTCATTTATTTGCAATTTAAAACCAATTCTGCTGCCTGTTAGCTCGATACACTCGCGAGTTCGGGTTCCCAGCCCCTCCCCGCTAGTCTAGTTCTCCCGCGTTGCTTCTGCTGCAGCTGCTGCTGCTGCTGCTGCTGCTGCTGCTGCAGTGTGCTCTTTAGCCTTTTTCGTATGTTGCCGCCACCAGCACTAGAAAACAAGCAGAGAAAGCCTTTAAAGCCTAACCAGCGCGCTAAAGAGCGCAACCAGCAGGCCATTTGGTCTGCTGCTGCTGCAGCAACAGCAGCAGCAGCTGCTGCTGCTGCTGCAGCTTGAAGGGGATTTGTCTGAAACTGCCTGAACTTCGCAGGTGTTCCTGGAGTACGTGCGGGCGCCTTTGCCGACGGCGACAGGGGGCGCTGCGCCGCCGCCGAGCGACAGCAAAGGGAACATGCATTTTGTTTCTCTTTATGTTGGGTCTTTGAAACTTTTGTCAATTCCAGAAGATTACGATGGCTCTACCAAACTCAACGAAGAAAGAAAAGGCCAAAACGTCTCCGAGCTGCTGCTCCAGGCAGGCCTAGCCAGGACCGTCCCGCACAGGGCCGAAGACGATCAAGCAGAAGTGAGCTGCTGCTGCTGCTGCTGCTGGTTGCTGCGGGCGCGCTGGGGTGTCTGGTGCTTCTCCTGCTGCTGTGTTGCCTGCGGCAGTGTTGCTGCTGTTGTTAGTGCCGCTGTTGCTGCTGCTGCAGCGGCTCTCTCGCTGTGCCAGCGTCCTGCAGCAGCTGCAGCAACAGCAGCAGCAGCAGGAGCAAGAGCCCGTTGTCCGTTCATCGTGTTTTCTTTCTTCCTGGCTCCCCTCATCCATTTTGCATTTATTGTCTTAAGTGCTCATCAATGTCGTCTGAACAGCTGCTGCTCTGGAGTGTACGTACTCTTGAACGCGGCAGTTGTATGCTCAGCTGCTGTTGCTGCAGTACACCAGCAACAGCAGCGTGTCTTTGTGCGAATTACATTAGACGGAATATTAAATGAATATTTGTTAATAGTTTTAATATTTATTTCGTAAAAGTTGCACTTTTGCTGCTGCAGCGCTACGACGTGTACCAGCAGCTGGAGAAGGAGGCGCAGGCAGCAAAGCGCGGCCAATTTGCTGCTGCAGCAGCAATTAAAGTAGTTCGTTTGGTGGACTTAATGGGCCCTGCAAATGCCCAAAGAGCTGTAGCTCATCTGCAGCAGCTGCAGCGCTACCCCCAGATCGAAGCCATTGTCGAAAACGTCTTCAATGCTGCGAGATTCAGGCTTAGGATTCCTTCAGTGAGGACCAACTTGCTGCTGCTGCTGCTGCTGCCCTCGCCGCCGCTGCTGCTGCTGCTGCTTGCCGGATCCGAGTGGCGTGCTGCTTTGCTGCGGCTGTTACGGCTGCTGCCGCTGCTGCTGCTGCAGCTGCTGCGGAGCTGCGGCGACGTTGATTTGTGCTGCGTTTGCTGCTGGTGCAGCAATCTCTGATAATATCTTTTGCACTTTCCGGGATCCGCTGCCCGCAAACAGCCAGGGGGCCCCTCCCGGGGGCCCCCAAAGAAAGAGCTGCTGAGCCTTATGGCCCGGAGGCCCTTCAGTTCAGCCGCAGCAGAGTGCTGCAGCGCGAGGTGTACATACAGGTGGAGCAGTGCGACAGGGGGGGCAACTTCATAGGCACGCTGCTGTACAACAGCAGCCAGCAGCAGCAGCAGCAGCAGCAGCAGCAGCATAGGGTCAACCTTGCGGTGGAGCTGCTGGCAGCAGGGCTTGCGCAGACTGTGCCCTTCTCGCTGGCCCGCAGCGCATGCAGAGAAGCTCTTGCTGCAGCAGAAGCAGCAGCAAAAGCAAACAGAATTAACTTGTGGGGCCTTCCGGGGGCCCTCGAAGAAGATAATGAACCTCCTGAAACTTTCTTGGAAAAAAATATCAGCGGAGTTGTTGTTTCCCACATCGACAAGTTCGACTCCTTCTACATTCAGGTGCGCAGCTGCGTCTAGGGTTTAGGGTTTAGGGTTTAGGGTTTAGGATTTAGGGTTTAGGATTTGGGGTTTAGGGTTTAGGGTTTGAGGTTTCGGGTTGAGGGTTTAGGGTTTGGGGTTGGGGCTTGGAGCTGGCAAATACTCTGCTCAAATACATTACATGGGTTTGGGTCTTAGTAGGTTTAGGGTTTAGGGTTTAGGGTTTAGGGTTTAGTTTGTTGCAAAGGCTCTTTAGAAGTTGATTTTAGAGCCTAGGGCTTGAAGAAAAGGGGTTTTTGAAAATATGAATTTGAATTGTTTGGGGGTTTGCGTGAAGGAGGAAAGAAGCGACAAGTTGGACTCCATAACAGCAGAAATCAGAGAAGCAACAGCAGCAGCAGCAACAGCAGATTCCACCTACACTCTTGCGGGAATGCCGCGAAAAGGCGAAGTCATTTTGGGGCTGCATGTGGCGGACGGCCAGGTTTGCTGCTGCTGCTGCTGCTGCTGCTACTGCTGCCAGCTGTTGCATTTCTTCTGCTTCCACCTGTGTTTGTGTACACCTAGCATGTTTGCTGCGTGTAATTATTGAAAAGCACTTACAAAATCAACCAGAACGAGCGCATTCACCGCAGCAGCTGCTGCTGCAGCAGCCGCTGCAGCTGCTGCTGCAGCAGCCGCTGCTGCTGCAGCAGCGGGCCAACTGCTTTGCTGTGCGGGTTTGCTGCAGTGGTACCGGGCCAGAGTGGAGGGCCGGGAGGGCCAGCAGCTGAGCGTTTGCTACATCGATTTTGGTTTGAAAGAAAAGTTGGGACTTAGCCAAATACGGAGGTGCCCCCCCTCCCTCACTGCTGCTGCAGTGCCCCCGCAGGCCACGCACTGCATGCTCTCAGGTGCTGCTGCTGCTGCTGCTGCTGCTGTGGGGGATGATGCTGCTGCTGCTGTGGGGGATGATGCTGCTGCTGCTGTGGGGGATGCTGCTGCTGCTGTGGGGGATGAAGCTGCTGCTGTGGGGGATGATATTGCTGCTGCTGTGGGGAATGGTGCTGCTGCTGCTGTGGGGGATGGTGATGCTGCTGTGGGGGATGCTGCTGCTGCTGTGAGGGATGATGCTGTTGCTGCTGTGGGGGATGCTGTGGCTGTGAGGGATGCTACTGCTGTGGGGGATGTTGCTGTCGATGGGGCTGGGGCTGCTGCTGCTGCTGCTGTTGCTGGCGTTGGGGATGAGAAGGAGAGGAAGTCGCTGCTGCGGCTGTTGCTGATGCTGCTGCTGCTGCTGCTTCCAATTGAATCTTTACCTGCTGCGACCGCTGCTGCTGCTTCGATGCCCAGCAGCTGCAGCAACTCTCTCTGCCCGTCGCTCCCGTTGCCACAACTGCTGCTGCCGCTGCTGCTGCTGGTGCAGGGCTGCTGCCGCCGCCAGACATGGAAGAAGACGCAGCAGACGCGCTGCATGCGCTGACAGAGGGAATGGTTTTCCATTGTTTGATTGAAGGGCTCAGCAGCGACAAAAGAAGACTTTGTGTCTTGACAGCTGAAGAGGACTTCTCCGAGAAAAGTGCGGATTGCTGCTGCCCTTCAGCTCCTTTTTCCGTGCTGCTGCTGCTGCTGCTGCAACCCCAGCGGCTGCTGCTGCTGCTGCAACTCCCGCTGCTGCTGCTGCAACCACCCCTCGTGCTTCTGCTGCCGCTGTAACTCCCGCTGCTGCTGCTGCTGCCGCCGCCGTGCTGCACCCCCCGCTGCTGCTGCTGCTGCACGCCTGCTGCTGCTGCTGCTGCTGCAGAGCCTTCTGTGAACGAGAAGCTTCTGGGGATGGGTTTAGCGCTGCTGGACCGGAAGAGCAGCTGCCGATACTTTTCTCGATTTGCTGCTGAAGAGCAAAAGGCCCGAAAAGCTCATTTGAATGTTTGGAGATATGGAGATATCGGCGAAGACGAAGAAGACGAAGACTTTCCTGCACTGCACAAGCAGCAAAACAAGCACGCACCCACTCTTTGTTTCTTTTCTTGTTGTTTGTTTTATTGTTCTGTTTATTGTTTTGTTTTGTTTTATTTGTTTTGTTTCTCTTGTTTTTCGTTTTATTGCTTTGTTCTGTTTGTCTTGTTTTGTTTTATTTGTTTGTTTTGTTTGTTTTGTTGTTTTGTTTGTTTTGTTGTTTTGTTTTGCTCCGTTTGCTTTGCTTGTTCGCTTTGTTTGTTTTGTTTTATTGTTTTGGTTTATTTTGTTTGTTTTCTTGTTTTGTTCGTTTTATTTTGTTCTTTTTTGCTTCTTTTGCGTCCTTTGTTTTGCTTCGTTGCTTTGTTGTTTCGTTTTTATTTGCTTTATTTTGCTTTCTTATTTTGCGTTGTTTTGTTTTATTTCTTCTTACTTTTGTTGTCTTTTTTTTGACACCCTTATCTCTTTTGCTTTTTGTCCATGCTGCTGTTCCTTTCCTTTCGTTCTGTTTTTATTTATTTTCGTTTTTATATTTATTTATTTTTATTTATTTTTAGTCCTCTCTATATTGGGCAACTCGAGATATGCGTATATTTTGTCCTCGCTGCTGCTCGCTGTTTGCTGCTGTGTTCGCTGTTGCTGTTGCTGCTGCTGCTTCTGTGCGCTGCTGTTGTTTGCTGCTACTGCCCTGTGCTGCTGCTGCTGCGTTTGCTGCTAGTGTCCTCTGGTGCTGCTGTGTTTGCTGCTGCTGCAGGAAGCCGCCACCGAGGAAGTAAAGCAGCAGCAACAGGGTTTAGGGTTTAGGGTTGCAGGCAGCAACCCTTCTTTCGTTGGAAAGAAGACAAAGAAAGACAATTAAACGCAGATTTGTTTATTTCGCTGCATCCTCAAGCCATTTGCTGCATCAAAGTGATAGCTCTATTTTTATTTCATGCTGCTGCTGCTGCTGCTGCTGCTGCCGCTGCCAGCCGCTAGGGCAGGCGGTGTCGAAAGCAGCAGCGACGCGTTAGAGCAAATAGAAGCACATTTGCCGCCTTTGAAGCTAACAGAATATTTATTTATTTATTATTTATTATCTATTTATTATTTATTATTTAATAAATGCAAACTCAACATTCACTAGGAGCGTCTGCTGCTTGCGACGCTCGCGGCCAGTTTGCTGCTGCTACTGCTGCTGCCACTGTGCCGGCGCTGCTGCCAGTGCTAACGCAGACAAAGCCGCCGCAGCAGCAGCTGCTGCTGCAGCAGCAGCTGCAGCAGCAGCGCATTTTAAATGAATTGAATGGTTTGCATAATTAGAAGCCCCGCCACTCGCCCGGGCCTTCGGGTGTATGTACACCCATGAGCTCCCGCAGCGCCATTGTGCAGTAAACGCCTGGGGGCAGCCACAGCCGCAGCACGAGGCTTAAGTTGCTGGCCTTGCGCCTTTCATCTATTTCTACTATGCTGCTGCTGCTGTTGCTGCTGCTGCTGGCAGCTGCCAGCTGGTGCAGCGCCAGGCAGGGGCCACCCGCTTTGCTGCAGTCGCGAATGAAGTCGGGGCGGAGCTCCTCGTCCAGAGATATTCGAAAAGGAACGCGCTGCTGCTGCTGTTGCTGCTGCTGCTGCTGTTCCTTTTCCTGTTGCTGCTTTTCACCCTCCTGCGGGGCATTCGGCCCGATCTGTTGCTGCTGCTGTTCCTGCTGCTGCGGTTGCTGCTGCTGCTGCTGTTCCTGCTGCTGTTGCTGCCGCTGTTCCCTCTCCGCGCGCTTCTTTTGCTTCAGAACATCTACATCGCTGAGCAGCAGCGGGGACGGAGGTTCTGCTGCTGTCGGCCCCGATAGCACTAGCTGCCAGCTGCATGCTTTTGCTGCTGCAACAATCTTGCGGTAGCCCCCAGGAAGAGACACAAGAGGGGGCCCTGCAGCATCTGCTGCTTCTTCTTTTCCTAGTAGCTGCAGCAGCTTTGCTGCTCCGATGCCCCTAAACGGCCGCCGCCGCCTGTCGTTGTAGCCCCGCTGCTGCTGCTGCTGCTGCTTTTGGCGCCGCGCAGCAGCAGCCGCAGCAGCAACTGCAGCAGGGTGGCGCGCGTGCGTCTGCTGCTGCAGGAAGTGGTGGACATCAAGGCCCAGGTGCTGCTGGCAAATCTGCTGCAGCTCTTGCTGCAGGTACTCAGGCACCGTGTTGCTGCTGCTGCCTAGCAGCGGCAGCACGACGTCGTGGATGTCTGCTGCTGCTGCTTCAGCAGCAGAAGCAACAACCCGCACACTTGCCTCTGCTGCTCCTCCCCACCGCTGCCCTGCAGCGGCTTCATCTCCTTCATCCAGCTCCAGCATCTGCGGGTCCTCTTCTGCTGCAGCAGCAGCTGCTGCTGCTTCTGCTGCTGCTGCACCCGAGGCCAGCTCCCCGGCCTGCTGCGGCTGCTGCTGCTGCTGCGGCTGCTGCTGCTGCAGCAGCAGGTCCCCCGGCACGACTTTGTTTCCGTATTTTGTCCATCTGTAAGTCAGCAAATGGTTAAAGACAAAAGCTTGTGCTGCATGCAGATACAGCAGCAAACTTGGTCGCGGCAGCTGCTGCAGCGCCTCCCCATAAGAGGCCCCCCCCAGCAGCGCCACCACAAGCCGCTCTTCTAGGGTTTCGAAGCGGCTGCACTGCAGCAAGGGGCCCTCTTCGTCTTCCCTGCTGCTGCTGCTGCTGCTGCTGATTCTGCTGCTGCTGTCGCTGCTGCTGCTGCTGCTGCAGCTCGCGGCGTCGGCTTCTGAAGCGGCGCCGGGGCGCTGCTGCTGCTGCAGCTGCTGCTTCTTGCGCATGGCCTCCTTCATTTGCTGCTGCTGCTGCAGGAGGTCTGCTGCCTGCTTGAGCTTGCTGCTGAGGATTAGCCGCACAGCCCCCCGGTGGTCCCCCCGCAGCAAACAGGCCCCCACTGCTGCTGTTTGTGTCTCTTTGCTGCCAAACCGCTGCAGCCCGAAATAATTCAAAAAGCCCCGAGAGGAAAGCTGCTGCATGCGCTCGCTTATAAACGCATGCAACGCATGCAGCGCAGCCACCGGCAGACGCACAGCGCCCCCGCTGCTGCTGTCGCTGCTGCTGCTGTCGTCGCTGGTCCTGCTGCTGCTGCTGCTGATGGGCCTGATGTTGCGAACCACAATCTGAAAGAAGTTGCCACGGAGCTCTCCAAGATGCAGCGGAGCATTTGCAAAGCCCCACCACTGCAGGCAAATATTTCGGTCGTAAAGTGCATGCAGCACTGCTTCCTCCACCTGCTGCTGTGTCACCTGCAGCACAGCAGCAGCAGCAGCAGCAGCAACGGCAGCGCAGCCGCTTGTTAAACGGCCAAAAGAGCAGCAGCAGCAGCAACGGCAGCAGCAGCCCTTCAAAACGCAGGCACAGTCCCTGCAGCAGCAACGTCCACAGCTGCAGCAGGTTCACGTAGCAGCAGCAGCAACAGCGGCAACAGCAGCAGCAGCACCAGTGGAGATCGGCAGCGCCGCTAAGCAGCCGGCACACCAGCTACTACGGCTGTAAAAGCAGCCGCCTCAGCGCGTGCTGCTGCTGCTGCTGCTGCTGAGGTGTACAGACACCTCACGTACCCTTTCTATAGAAACGAGCTGCGTAGTGACACCTCTTCTGTCTTTTGTGCCAGCAGCAAATAGAGCAGCAGCAGGACGGCCGAGGCACCGCGAGAGGCAGTGCAGCGCTGCTGCTGTGTCTCGGTTCTGCTTCAGCAGCAACACCAGGCCGTAGCGGCCCCCTCCCTCCTGCTGCTGCTGCTGCTGCTGCTGCTGTGAGGGGGACTCGGGATGCTGGGGGGATATAAGGGCTGGCCGGTCGTTGCAGAAGCGCCGGCGGTCCCCACACAGACACTTCTCTGCAGCACGAGCAGCAGCAGCAAGAATACTTGTGCTGCTGCTGCTGCTGTTGCTGTCGGTGCTGCTGCTGCTGGAGTTGCTGCTGCTGTTGCCGCCGCTGCTACTGGCTTCGTCCTGTGGGCTCTGCAGCTTCTGCAGCGGGCGCTTGCGGCCGAAAGGCCTCCTTACTCCATGCGAGGCCCCTTGCTGCTGCTGCTGCTGCTGCTGCTGGCCCCTGGTGCTGTGTCTTCTGAATAGGTAAATAAGGCACTGCGGCTGTAGAATTATGCGGATTAGCTGCTGCGGCGGAGATGCTGCTGCTGCTGCTGCAACTGCAGCAGCTGCCTCAGCTACGGCAGCTGCATCCAAGTCGCCGTTCTGGAGGAGCAGCTGCTGCTGCTCCTGCTGCTGCCGCTGCAGCAACAGCAAATCTTGCTGCTGCTGCCTCCAGTTGGCATCGAGAGACACAAAAGGCAGCTCCGCAACAGCAGCAGCAGCAGCAGCACTGGCGGGGTTGAGCTCAGCGGCGGCCGCAGCGGCGTGCTGCTGCAAGCCTGGATTTGTGGGGTGTGAACCAGCAGCAGCAAAGACGCCGCAAGCTGCTGCAGCAGAAAGGGGAGCAGCAGCAGATACTGCAAACGGCAGCAGCACACGCACAGCGCCGTGGGACTGCATGCGCTGCTGCTTGTATAAACCCTCAAGTGCAGATAAAGAGACGCTCCACATCGTGCTGCTGCTGCTGCTGTTTCTGCTGCTGCTGCTATTGCTGTTGCTGCTGCCATCTTCAGTGCTGCTGTTGGGCTCGCTGCTGCACAGGGAAACAGGCAAGTGCGAGCTAATAACTGCAGCAGCTTCCGGCCTCAGCCCCTTGTTGCTGCTTGAAGCTGCAGCAGCAGCAGCAGCAGCTGCAGCGGAGCCGCTTGGAGGCAGTGCAGCAAGAGCTGCTGCAGCCGCTGCTCGGATAGCTGCTGCGGTGTCTCCAAGCAGCCACAGCTCTGGCAGCGTAAACTCTGCAGCAGCAGCAGCAGCTGCTGCTGCTGCAGAGGCGTCTGAGCAGTTGCTGTCCCCTTTGGCACTGCTGCTGCTGCTGCTGCTGCTGCTGTCGTCAGCAGCTGGCTCTCCCTCCAGTTCGGTCAAAGGGTTCGCTAATGCTGCAGCCTTCCGTTTGCCAGCAGCAGCAGCAGCAGTTGCTGCTGCTGCTGCAAGACTGGGAAGCTGCTCGCTGTTTGCAGCATCAACGGGCATCTCAAGGGCCTCTATCAAATCTTTTGCTGCTGCTTTTGCTGCTGCTGCTGCCTCTGCTGCAGCAAGCTCCTGCCCTTGAAGAGGCTCTTTTTCACCGTGAGAGTCTGCTGCAGCTGTTGCTGCAGATGTTGCCGCTGCTGCTGCTGCTGCTGCTGCTGGCCCATTTTTCCTAAGGAGGCAATAAGCTGCGAGGGCCCGCACAAAACTTTGTACGTTTATCTGGTCAGCTAGGCTGAGCACTTTTGCTGCTGCTGCAGCTGCTGTTGCTGCTTCTTCTTCTGCTGCTGCTTCTGCTGCTTCTTCTGCTGTTGCTTCTGCTGCTGCTGCAGCAGCAGCAGGCACAACCTTTCTGAATGTGGGGACCGTGAAAAGTGGACTTATGATGCCCTCACCGCGCAGCAGCAGCTGCTGCTGCTGCCGCCTCCGCTGCAGCCACTCTATATTGGGCAGCGCCGTGAGCCGCAGCGGCTTGCCCACATCGCTGCTGTTTGCTGCTGCACCTTGCTGCGGCTGCTGCTGTAGCAGGGGGTCCTCATAAACCTGAAAGTCCTCAAAGAGGGCCTTTACTGCTCCCCTAAATCCCGATATTGATGTACACCCCAGAGCAGCAGCAGCAAAAGGTCCATCAGCCATAAAGGCTGCAATCCCGTTCTCGCGGGAGGCGGCTTCAGCAGACCTGGGAGTCTGTGGTTGCTGCTGCTGCTGCTGCTGCTGTTCCTGTTGCTCCTGCTGCTCCTGAGACACGCTCTCCTCCTGCAGACAATGCGCCAGCTTCAGCTGCTTCTTGGGACTTTCAAGCAGAGTCTCGTGTGGGTCTGCAAGCGCAGCGGGTGCAGCGGCTGCAGCAGCGGCAGCAGCAGGAGCAGCAGCAGCAGATCTCTCCGCCATCTCCGAAGATACGATGGGCTGCATAGCGCTGAAGCCAAAGGAAGCTTCTGAGGCTCTTGGCTGCTTCTTCTTTGTGAAGCTCGCGGTCGCCCAGAGGCGGAGAACCGTGCTCGCGTGCTGCTGCTGCTGCTGGTGCAGCTGCTGCAGCTGCTGCCGTTGCTGCTGCTGCAGTAACTGCACAGAAACAGAATAAAGCGGGATACTTCACAGATAAAAGGGCTTGGATGTCTAGGGTGTTCAACTTGCAAAGGAAGACAGCCACGGGGCTCTCAGTGAGGCCCACGTGGGGCAGCAGCGGGGCCTCCAAGCCTAGTGCTCCTGCTGCTGCAGCTGTTGCTGCTGCTGCTGCTAATGTCTTTAGTCGATTTACTTAAAATATGGCGTTTTTCATCAAGTTAAAGTCGCTGTAAAGGCACATAACACAGAGGAGGGGGCCCCGGGCCCCCTGCTCTTTCGCCGTGGCCGACGCAGCTCGCGGCGGCGGCTGCAGAAGACTCTTAAGGTGAATAGCTGCAGCTATAGACTGGCTTTCAAATATTTTGTAATGTAGATTAATATAAAACAAAAAAGTCGTAAATGATAAATGGCGGCAGTGAAAGGCTGAAATGCGCCTCCTGCTGCTGCTGATCCTGCCTGGTCTTTGCTGCCCTGCAACAAACACACAAGGCGCTCTGCTGCCCTCTAGGCAGCGTTTCACATTTATCAGCAGCGGCAGCATGCTCAGAAGCAGCAGCAGCAGCAGAAATAGCAACAGCAGCAGCGAGCAGCCAGCGTGGCTGTTTGGCACTCGGGCTGTGCGAGCTGCAGCAAACGAAGTGACCCTCTCAGCTCTTCCCAAAGGCTGCAGCACGGCAGCGGCAGCAGCACCAAGAGCAGCAACAGCAGTAACAGCAGCAGCAACAGGAACAGCAGCAAAACCAGAACCAGCAGCAACAGCAGCGTCAGGAGCAAGCTCTCAGGGGCTGCGACAAACAGCAGCAACCGCAGCAGCATCCGCAGCAGTGGCGAGCTCGCAACGGCCTGCGAAGACTGCAGCAGCAGCAGCAGCAGGGAGCAGCTTTGATGTGCTGGTTTTGACCTCCCCAGAGGCTGTGCGGCACTTTTTCCTTTGCTGCAGCGATGCTGGCGTAGCAGCAGCAGATGTGCTGCTGCAGCCGCAGCAGCAGCAGCAGGTGCTGGTTGCAGCTGTGGGCGAAGCGACGGCAAGGGAGTTCAAGCAGCACTTCCGTGCTGCTGCTGCTGCTGCTTCTCCAGCAAGGGTTTCTGGACTCAGCGCCAAGCAGCTCCAGCAGCAGCAGCAACAGAAGCAGCAGCAGCAGCACGATGGGGAAGCTGCTGTCCGTTTCCCGCGTCTCTTTGTTTCTACTGAGGCCTCTGGAGCTGCTCTTGCAAACCAGCTGGGTGCATTAGTCTCACAAGAAGCAGCAGCAGCAGCAACGGCAGCAGCAGCAACAACAGCTGCGGCAGCAGCAGAAGCAGCAGCAGCTGCAGCAGATGCAGCAGCAGCAACGGCAGAGTGGGGAGGGAGGCTGTCTGCGTGCTGCAGGGACTGCGGCCGGCCGCTCTGTCGAGTGCTGTGGCCGTGTTCGGCCTTAGCAGAAAACCACTTCACCAGCTGCCCGGCCCACAGCAGCAGCTGCAGCAGCAGCAACAGCGGCAGCAGCAGCAGCCGTGCTGCTGGCCCTGTTTGCTGGCGGGTCACCAAGAGGGCCATCTACACGACGGCCCACCGCAAGCTGCAGCAAACGACGCGGGCTGAGCTGCTGCGCCTGCTGAGCAGCAGACATCTCCCAAACTGCAGCAGCAGCAGCAACAGCAGCAGCAACAGCAGTCATGGGGGAAAACCCGGTGGCTGCGGCGTGGCGATCATGTTCGGAAGCCCTTCAGCTGTGCGCGCATGGGCAGAGACCAACCGCCTTCCCCTTTGCTGCAGCTGCAGCAGCAGCTGCAGCAGCAGCAGCAGCAATAACTGCACTTGCCTTGTAGCTGTCTGCATTGGGGAAACAACTGCTGCAGCGGCACGGGCAGCGGGTAGGATGTAAAGAGCGTGTAGTTACAGGGCCACAGCCCTAAACCCTAAACCCTAAGGCTGCAGACCTAAACCCTTGAACTGTAAACCCTAAAACCCTAAACCCTAGGCCTGCTTATTCCCGTTTTTGTGTTTCCGTCGCCTCAGGCTTCCCTCAAGTCATCTCACCCCAGCAGTCTGGGCTTGCTGGCTGGCTCGACTGTCTATACACTGCAATGGAGGCGCCGCAACAGCAGCACGGACAGCAGCAGCAGCAGCTGCAGCAACAACAGCAGCTGCAGCAGCAACAGCCGCAACAGCACCCGCAGCAGGAACAGCAACAGCAGAGTGCTGAAGCAAGTAATCCAAGGCCTCTGGTGATCATAACGCGCGCAGAGGCCCAGACAGGAGAGCTGCTGCTGCTGCTGCTGCAGCAGCAGCAGCTGCAGCAGCTGCTGCCACCCAAGCCTCCGTGGCCTAGCGACTTTGCTAAAAATGATCTGCTGCTGCACCCTTTTGCTGCTGGTGCCTTCGATGTGCTGCCGCTGCCCCTCATAAAGACACAAAGAGACGACGAGCAGCAGCAGCAGCAGCAGCGCCTTCTGCAGCAGCAGCTACAGGCAGCTGCGCGCAGGTCCCTAAATTCTAAACCCTAAAACCTAAACCCTAAACCCTGCGTTTCAAAACCAATGAGGTGACTTCAAATCTGAGGGTTTCAAATCACAAACCCTACGGGTCCCATATACGATGCCCGTAGAAGCAGGCTTGAGCTCATGTTCGAGTTGCTGCTGCTGCTGCTGCTGCTGCAGTTAGCAGCAGCAGCAGCATGACAAATTCACGAATAGATGTCTCTCTGCAAGAAGGCAGGAACTTCCTTTTCAACATCCTGAAGACAAGAGAAAATAACAACGCGGACAAACTTGCTGCTGGTGGCCTAAGGCCTTATCTGTCTCTCTTTCTAGCTGCTGCTGCTGCTCCAGCTGCAGCAGCAGCTGCTGCTGCTGCTATGGTTCCCACCTTCAGCAGACGGTCAACTTCATACAGACTACTCAGCAGCTCTCCCGGGGATCCGCTGCGGTGTACGTACACTGCAGATCGCTGCAGCCGCTGCAGCAGCGGATCCAATGTTCCGTGCAGGTCTTGACCAATTGTTTTCTGCATTAATGAGACACAAACCGGGCAAAAGCCGCAGATGCAGCAGCTGCTGGAGCCTCTGGGATAGCAGCAACCAGAGCAGCAGCAGCAGCAGCAAGAGCATCAGCAGCAGCAAGAGCAGCAGCAGCAGCAGAGCAGCAGCAGGGAAGCAGCACGGCCTAGACGCACTGCTAAGGGCTTGTGAAGTATCAGGGGTCTCCTGCTGCAGCAGACGCACCAGAGCAGCAGCAGCGCCGGAAACAATGCAGCAGCAGTTGCTGCTGGGTGCACTGAGCAGCATCAGGCTTCTCGGTGCAGCAGCAGCGGCTGCGGCGAGCTGTACGTACAGCCCCCAGCAGCAGCGGCTGCTGCGAGGTGTACGTACAGCTCGCAGCAGCAGCGGCTGCGGTGAGGTGTACGCATAGCCCGCAGCAGCAGCGGCTGCTGCGAGGTGTACGTTCAGCTGGCAGCAGCAGCGGCTGCGGCGAGATGTACGTACAGCTCGCCCTGCAGCAGCAGCCGCCGAGCCACGTCCAAGGGCTTTCCACTTTTGTCAATGTGACAGTCTAGAGGAGGCCTTAGCAGCAAAAGAGAAAAGTTGAAAGCCCCGCAGCAGTAAAGGTACTTCACAGCTCGCGGGCAGTCATGCATGCAAGCAGCAGCAACGCAGCAGCGGCTCAGCGACAGCAGCAGCCCCCCGCTCCCTGAACGCAGCAAACCCTAAACCCTAAACCCTAAATGCGGGTTTGGGGAACTCAACCGCACACTGGGAAATGGAGCTCTCTAGCACTAACCCTAAACCCTAAACCCTAGGAAGTAAAACGCAGCCTCACGGATGGACAGACGGATCGGCTGCAGCACGTGGGCTGTTGGCAGCTCCGTGCTGCTGCTGGTGCTGCTTCCTGATCCCTCAGTGCTGCTGCTGTTGCTGCTGCTGTTGCTGCTGCTGCTGAAGGGCTGGGTGAAGTAGAGCCAGAACAGCAGGTAGACGAGCCCAGCCCGCTGCAGCAGAAGCTGCTCGTCCCGCGTGAGTTGCGCAGCAGCAGCAGCAGCAGCAGCAGCAGCAGCCAGCTGGCTGCTAGCTGCTTCAACAGCACTCATACAATCTTGGTAAGCTTTTGCTGCTGGCAGCAACTCCTCTGTCTCCGTGTCAGTCTCCAGGCCCTCCCTCTCCGCCGTGGTAAACAACTCCTCATCAAGGAGCAGTGCTGCGCACCAAACCCTAAACCCTAAACCCTAAACCCTAAACCCCAAGGGCGGGAAGGCCTCCTTGCGTCTGCGTCGCCGCGCAGTCGCAAACCCTAAACCCTAGGCGACGGGGGCTGGGGCTTAGCGTTTAGACTTCAACTGGTGGTTTGAACTTCCGAGTCAGGGTTTAGATCTAGGGTTTAGGGTTTAGGGTTTACTCTCCCAGACAGTGTTGAGAAAGGCAAACACATCTTGAGGGTCTTCTAAGGGAATTGGCTTTGAAAGGCAGCAGGCTGCTCGCGAAACAGCAGCAGACACAAACAGCTCGAAAGTGCCCTCAGCAGGCAGCCGGCTTTGCTGCTGCTGCTGCTGCTGCTGCCGCTGCTCGCACTGCTCATGCTGCTGCTGCTCGCGCTGCTGCTGCTCATGCTGCTGCTGCTGCTGCTGGCCAGGACCTTGGGCTTGGGCTGCTGCTCCAGCCGCCGCATCAACCGGGGCTTGCAATCCCCCTGAGGACGGCTGTTGGCCTAGAGAACTGTTGCTGCTGCTGCTGCTGCAGATTTGCTGACAAACGAGCAGCATGAAGTGGCAGCAAATGTCCTTTATATCCGCCTCTGTAAAGCCCCCGCGCCCCGGGTAAATAGTTGGCCTGTAGAGCCCCCTCCATACATCGCCACAGCGCAGCACTGCGCGCTGCTGCTGCTGCTGCTGCTGCTGCGGAGCATCGACAGCGCTGGCAGCAGCTTCTGATGCCTCTGCTGCTGCTGCGGATGGCATGGCTGTAATGAGAGTGGCCTCGGTATTGTTGCTGTTGCTGCGGCTTCTCCAAGAAGCTACTGCATTCCCCCTGCAGCATTTGGTTTCGCATGCTGGTGCTGCTGCTGCAGCGGCGGGATGCGGTGCTGGTGCTCCATAGGCGCCGGGCCGCCGAAGGTTCCCTTGAGGCCTATCGCTGGCTGCTGCGACTGCTGCAAGCTGCGTTGCTGCTGCTGTTGATGCTGCTGTTGCTGCGGCTGGAGCAGCGACTGCTGCTGCCCTCACAGCTGCTACTGCGGCAACAAAGCCCGCCAGAAAGAGTCCTTTTCCCTCGATTATTGCAGCTCTATAGGCGGAATGCCTATTTGCGTGTGGACTGCAGCAGCAGTGGCTGCTGCTGCTGCTGACGGACAAGACCCTGGTCAGTGGGATATAGAGGAAGGAGCGGCGCGGAAAACTTCCGCCCCTGAGTCTTTGTCTTCTGTTTAGAGACACAAAATTTATTTTAAATGGTCCCAAGGAAGAGAAGCTTGTTGGGACGACAGCCGGTGGAGTCTCAGCAGCAGAAGCTGCTGCTGGAGTAGCAGCAGCTGCTGCTGCTGCTGCTGCGCTATACGTCGTGGCTGGGGAGCGAGGCAAAAAGAAAGACCGAAGCTGGGATAAGTAACAACACAACTGCTGCTGCCACTTTGAGTCTCGTTAGTTTATACATTACCGCAGCAGCAAGAGAAGCAGCAACTCCAGCAGCCGCAGCGGCCTCTCACTCTTGCAGTCTACGCGGAACCGCTATATGAGAGTAATCGTCTTCTCCTCAAGTGCATGTGCACTCAAGTAGAGCAGCAGCAGCAGGAAGAGCAGCACCAGATGCCAGTCACCCGGCGCTGCCTGGCTTGCCCGTCTACGGCAAAACAGCAGCGCAGCAGCAGCAGCAGCTACGCCTCTTCCTGCTGCGTTCTACACCGTTTTGCTGCTGCTGCTGAGTGACGCAGAATCCCTTGGGTAGCAGCCCTGCTGCCAGTGGCTCGGGCCCTCGAGACGAGACACGCCGTCAGCAGCAGCAGCGGAACTCGCAGCAGCAGCAGCAGCCGCTGCAGCACTAGTGACTGCTGCGCGTGAGGCTCCGGGGCAGGGAGCCTGCGCACTTGGCGCGTTTCGTGCTGCGCATTGCTGCAGAGCAGCAGCAGCAGCAGCAGCAGCAGGCCCACGGGCAAATCCAGCAGCAAAAACAGCAGCCAGGACAGGTGCAGCAGCAACAAGGACAGCAACAGCAGCAGCGACACCAGACGGTGCTATACCGTGTCTTTTATCTCTTTTATACAGCCTCCGCAAAGGCCTTTCTCTCATCAAGAGCCCCACCCGCAGGCGGGAGAGTTCTGCTATTGCTGCTGCTGCTGCTGCTGCTGCTGGTCCAGCCACAGTCAGGGATGACCGCAGCAGTTCCAGAAGCAAGTTCAGCTATAATGTTACACAGTTCAGCAGCAATAGCAGCACAAATGGTGTCTGTAGCCCAGAAGTAGCGGCGTCGACAGCAGCAGCAGCAGCAGCAAAAGCAGCAGCAGCAGCACAGGCAACCGCCAAAGTTGCTTTTTTTTTATGTAGATAAGTATTCTTGTTCGGGGAGGATGAGCTCTGCCTGACTGACTCTGCGTGCAAGACGAAGCCAATGCCCTACAGAGCGGCTCAGCAGCAGCAGCAGCAGCAGAAGCAGCAGCAGCAGCGCTTCTTAAGTTGCAATGGGGAACGACAGTCTAACCCCTAAAAGTGCTGATTTTCGGCTGGACGAGCTGCAGCAACAGCCGCAGCAACTGCAGCAGCAGCAGATTCCACAGAGGGAGGATGAGCCGCACCAGACGGAGCAGCAGCCGCTGATCACGCCAGCTCAGCAGCAGCAGCGGCAGCAGCAGCAGCAGCTCCAGACAGATGAAACTGAGGGCGGCATCAGCTCCCAGCCACTTTCGAAAGGCCTGCGGCTTCAGAAGCAGCAACAGCTAGTTGACTCAGCAGCAGCAGCAGCAGCAGCTGGGGATACCGTTTTTTGTGGCCTTGGAGCTAACACTGTATCTCTTTCACGCAGCAGCAGCGCTGATGAGGCAGCTGCTGCTGCAGTGCGTGCAGCTGCAGTAGCAGCAGCAGCTGCTGCTGCTGCTGAGGCGGCTGCAGCAGCGGCTGCGGAAGCAGCAGCAGCAACCGCTGCAGGCATCCAGCAGCGGCCTCCCGCAGCTGTACATGCAGCAAATAATCCAAGTGGTAACGGCAATAGCAGCAGCAGCAGTAGCAGCAGCAGCAGCAACAACAACAGTCATGGAGCAACGAGAACGATCTCCCCCTTGAGGTCTCCGGATGATTTACAGCGGAGCTCCTCATCTGCTGCTGCTGTTGCTGCTCTTGGGACTGTTGCTGCTTGGGGGCAAGTTTCGCCTAACAGCAACAGCAACAGCAGCAGCAGCAGCAGCAGCATGCAGGCCACCGACAGCGGCTGCAGCAGATCCACGAATTCATCTAGGCGCGTGTCGCCAGTGGCTGGCCTCTGCTCGGAGTCTGGTGACACTTTGTTGCCAACAGAATCAGCAGTTGCCGCACTTCCTGCTGCTGCTGCTGCTGCTGCTGCCGTTGTCCCAGCTGCGCTGCAGCAGCAGCATCACGACGTTGGCTCCACCTTTCCGGTGGGACAGTTGGTTACTGAGGGCTCGTTACCGGGCGGGGTCTCGTGCCCTGCCCAGCAGCAGACGCAGCTGCAGCAGCAGCAACAGCAATTGCTGCAGCAGCAAGAGCTTTTGTTTCCGCTGCCAGAAGGAGAAACAGTCAGCATTGAGTCGTGTGAAGGCAGCGTGCCTCAGCAGATGCAGCTTTGCCTTGCTGCTGCCGACGTTTGCGCATTTGTCGAAGGGCCGCCGCAGCAGCAGCAGCCACAGCAGCAGCAACAGCAGCAGCAGCAGCCCGCTTTTGCAAAAGAGGCACAGTTTGGTAGCCTAGAAGTTGAGCAGCAACAGGCTCAGGGCCTGCAGCAACAGGAGCAGCAGCAAGAGCTGCCGCTCCCGCTGCGGCTCAGCGAGCCACGAAGCAACGAGGAATGCGTGGATGACGAGAGTATCGACCCTGAGAGCAGCAGCAGCAGCAGCAACAACCGCAGCAGCAACAACGGCTGCGGAAGCGATGAGGATGCAAGTATGAGCGTCGATGCAGAGGAAGGAGTAGCGGCTTCAGTGCAGCAGCTGCCTGCCCTAGCAGCAGCAGCATTCGCGAGTGCTTCAGGGCCGCAGCAACAGCAGCAGCAGCTGCAGCATTTGGAGCAGGAGCGGCTTCTGCTGCTGCAGGGGAGCCACTACTTGCAACACGATCATGCAGAGCCCTACGGCACTGTAGTATCTCTTCAGGAGAGCAGCAGTGCCGGTAGCACAGCCTTTGATGAACAGCAGCAGCAGCGGCAGCAGGAGCAGCACCTGCAGCAAGGTCTCGCGCTGCAGCAGCAGCAGGAAGAGTTCTTAAGGGAAGCGGAGGCTGCAGCGAAACAGCCCCTTGCCTTCGAGTGTATGGACACCGATTGCGACCCGTCGCAGGTCCCTCCTACTAGCTCGCAGCAGCTGCAGCAAGAGCAGCAGCACGCAGAGCAGCAGCAGCAGCAGCAACTGCCGCACGAGCCACAAGAGAGCAGCATGGCTGGAGACACCGGCAACAGCTCGGACGCGAGAACAGTGGGTCCCTTTTTATGCAGCATCAGCATTGAATGCATCATGCTGCTGATGTTTTGATTGCTGCTGCTGCTGCTGCTGCTGTGTCTGCTGCTATTGTTCCTGCGGCTGTTGCTGGTGCAGCTACTGTTCCCCCTACTGCTTCAAGTGTTCTTTCTGCTGCTGCTGCTGCTGCTATCTCTGTTCTTTCTTCTGCTGCTCTTGCTGTTGTTTCTGCCGCTGCTACTGCTGCTGCTCACGGTGCTGCTGCTGCTGCTGGCGCTGCAGCAGGCTGCGGAGGAGGCTGAAGTCGAGGAGCTGCTGCAGTACTACGGGGCCCCCAGGCCCTCGGACGCTCGTTACCAGCACCTGACTGCTTTGATTTATCTTCACTTCTTGAGTGCGGCATTTTCACTTTTCAAGTTTTGTTTAATTTCTCTTTGTTGTTTGATCTTAGGGTTTTGTCCAGGTTTCAATTCAGGGTTTAGTCGGGGGGTTGGGCTGCTGCTGCGAGTGTCTGCATGCATGTGTGAAGATTGAAACAAATATGTATAGAATGTGTATACACAAAATATTCATTTATATATTTATTTATTTACAAATGCATATGTGCATGTCCTTATATATATATATATATATATATATCTTGACATTTCGATGCACATATGTATGTTTGTATACATATATATATATTATATGTGTGTGTGTGTGTGTGTTTGGGTGGGTGGGTATACATGGGTATACATTATATCTGACATTATATCTGTATTATCTGTTTACATATGGTTACATATCTGCATAGTATGAAGAATGTATGTATGTGCACATGTTTCTATATATACACAAATATATATGCATATGTATATTAATATATATATCATACACAATTCTAAATCCCTGTATATACAAACAGATATATGAAGGCAGCCAGAAAAGCCCAGGAAGGTCCTTGTCTTTTAGGCCCTTACAAACGTGTACCTTTTTGACGCAGCTGATAAGACTGCAGCGAGTGTTTGAATTCGCAGCGCTTAGTGTACAAGTCCTCACCAGCGCTGCTGCTGCTGCTGCCGCCGCCGCTGCTACTCCTGCTGTGCGCTGCAGACTATGTGGACCGCGGGTTCTGCGGAGAGGCTTCGTGCAGCGACTTGAGCCCCGACTGCCCCTTCGTATTTGATTTGGGGGACGCGAGACGCAGCAGCTACGGCACCGCATCTCTCTTTGATTTGTTCACTGCGCTGCTGCAGCGGTACGGAGCTGCTGCAGTTGAGGCTGTCTTTGCCTTGGTGGCGGTGCCGGTGAGGTTTACGCATTACATACAGTGCCACGTGCTTGGAGCCAAGCAGCAGCAGCAGCAGCGGCGGCAGCAGCAGCAGAAGGGGCAGTGCGGCTGTAGGTGCTCAGGCGGCTGTTACGGCCGCCGCAGCAGCAGCACCACCAGCAGCACCAGCAGCAGCAAGCAGGGAGCGCAGCAGGCACAGATATGCACAGGAGTTGTCCCCTGCTGCTGCAACGTCACATTTCTTGCCCCACACCCTCCTGCAGCAGCAACTTGTGGCTGCTTGGGGGACCTGCCTCCCGCCTTTCCAGAGTCTTTGCGGCGTTTGCTGCCGCCGCGCCGCGACTCCGCAGGAGCAGCGGATGACGAGGACAGCCCGACAGCAGCTGCGCAGGGCTGCTGCGGAGAGACAGACGAGCTGCAGCAGCAGCAGCTGCAGCAGCAGGCGCTTCACTCGTCTGCGACGAGCACATGCGACAGCAGCAGCTGCAGCCGCCGCTGTAGCAACAGCAGCACCGCGTGCTGCTGTGCCAGCAGCGCTGGAAGGTTGCGTCTTCGAGACAAGGGGAGTCCGACCGAAAGCGTGAGCAGCAGCGGCGACTGCTGCTGCAGCAGCACTAGCTGCTGCTGCTGCTGCAACAGCCGCTGCAGCAGCCCCGTGCTGTTCACGGCCCGGGACGTGGCGCGGCGCTCCTACACCGTGTACGACTTCTTGATCTCTTGCCTCGGAGATGGTTTTGCTGCTTTCTTTCCTGCGGACTGTCCCCTCGCATGCATGCGTTTGTCCACAGCCAGCGACGCCACCTTCCGGTCGCGGGGCCCCGGGGGGGCCCCCACAGACGCCTGTCTCTTTTTTCGGTCTTTTCTGGATAGGTTTGCTGGAGTTGCTGCTGCAGCGCTGCTGCAGGGGCTTCACCCCGCCACCTGCAGCAGAGGCAGCAACCCCTATCACATCACAAAGCTGCTGGAGCTGCTGCTTTTCTGCACCAACGGGTCCATAGAAACCCTGCCTTCACACGTAGTTGTGGCGCACCCGGGAGACACTGGCGGCGGCGCTGCTAGTACCAGCAGCAGCAGCAGCAACAACAGCAGCAGCGGCAACGGGAGCAGCACAAGCAGCCTAGGACAGCCGCAGCAGCCTGAAGAGGAGAGGGAGACTTTCCTGCCGGCGGTGTCGAAGGACAACGAAACTGCAGCAGCAGGTGCTGCTGCTCTGGCGGGGTCGCCAGTAGCGGCAGAGTCAGCAGCAGCAGAGTCTGGCAGCAGCAACTCGTACGCCTGCAGCGCTATATCTCTTTCAGAGGTTCTGCGGCACTTGCTGCTGTCTCTGTCCTTCCCCTCCTCTCAGGAGCTGCTGCTGCGCATCACCGGCAGCAACAGCGCATGCGTGGGGCCTATCGGGGCACCCGTGCTGCAGGCGCTGCTAGAAGGCTGCAGCTGGAGGGCCTTTGTTGCTGCGCTCTTGCGGCAGCGGCACTTCGACAGGCGCGGCAGTTTGCTGCTGCAGCTCGTCAGTGAAGGGGGAGGAGCCAAGTGCGCTTGCAGCAGCAACGCCAACAGCGGCTGCTGCTGCTGCTGCAGCAGCTGCACTGGACAGTCGCAGCAACAAGATCTGCAGCGGCACCAACGGTGCTCGCATATGAACAGAGGCAGCAGTGCTCAGCGACGCTCTTCTGCTGCAGCTCAGTTACAGAATGCTGTTGCTCGCTCCCGCCGGGCCCGCAGACAGCAGGGGGAGCAGCCGCTTCGCTGCAGCAGCAGCAGCAGCAGCGGGGAGAGCAGCTGTGTGCAGTACGCACCAGCTGCCTTCTCTGACCCTGCCACCAGCAGCATGAAGCACCTCCGCAGCAGCCTGGTGGCGCCGCTCACGAGCTGCTGTTCTTGTAGAGGGGGCACCCCTGGCTCTCGGCGGCTGATCCGTGCTGCTGTCAGCAGCAAGGCCGAGCGCCTGCTGCTGCGGCGTGAGCTGCACCAGCAGCAGCGGCAGCAGAAGCGAAAGCAGCAGCACGGCGAAGGCCACCACCAGCAACAGCAAATGCGGAGCCTGCATGCGACTTCTGGCGGGAGCCTTTCGGGCTGGAGAACAAAGGCAGCCCGCAGCAGCTGCGGCGGCGGCAGGGGAAGCAGACGCAGGCCATCATCTGCTGCTAAGTAAGTAAACAAAGAGAGACAGAAAGAACCAAAATCAAAAGGCAGCTGCAGCAGCACAGACAGTAGAAGCAAAGAACTGCAGATGTAGCCACATAGAGGGGCAGGTGCTGCGGAGCAGCAGCAGCCAGTATCCCTGCTAGGTATGAGGAGAGAAGAGCAGCATTTGCTGCAGAAACACAAATGCAGACGCAGCAGATTTAAACACATCTGTGTCTTTAGCTTTACAATTGGCCTGCGCAACTTGCTGCTGGCCTTTTGTGTCATCTGCTGCGGCGCGCAGCAGCAGCTCGGTTTCGCCGTCGTCGCGGCGACGCCTGTTCAGCGGCCATTCTGCGGAGGCGCCCCACCAGGCGCAGCAGCAGCAGCAAATGCTGCAGCAGCAGCTGTGCCCATCTCCTGCCAGTGAGCTGCTGCACAATACTCTGCAGCTAACTCGTAGAGGAGTCAGCAGCGGCGGCGGCCCCTCCGTTTGTGCTGCTGCTCCTGCAGCGGCTGCAGGCCGTGCTGGCTCAAGTCCCCCGGAAGCGCGCATCCAGGAGGCTGACCGCAGGCAACAGAACAGCAGCAGCAGCAGACAACACATGCAGCAGCAACAGCAGCAGCAAGTACAATCACAGCAGCACCGAATAGCTCGGGCGCATGCAGAGGTGCGGCGGCAGCGGCGGCAGCAGCAGCGGCTGGCGGAATACCGGCACCGGTTTCCCCATTTAGTTTACTCAGATACAGAAGCAGCAACAACAGTCCCGCTTCATTCTTGCCCAGCGACAGCAGCAGCAACTGAGACAAGCGCCGCAGCTAGCAGCGGGTCTGCATTGGGAGCAAGCGCAGCAGCAGGAGATGCTGGATCGTGGGGTTGGGGCGTCGTAGGGCCACCCCCTGGGGGCCCATTATACCCGCTGCACTTCCACTTGTGGGCCCTCCACGTGAAGCGGCGTTATCAGCAGCAGCAGCAGAAAGCTGTTCTTGCCGCAGCTGCCGCTGCTGCAAGGAGACGCAGCTCAGCCTGGGCTTCTCCTCTTAGCTGCGCTGCACCACTGTTCTCCCAGCAGCGTAGCAGATGGCAGGTGCAGCACGGGACCGTTGCTGCAGCAGCTGCCGCTTCGGAGGCGCGAGAGGAAGTAGAGTGGGGCCCCAGCTCTGCAAAACGGCCCCTCCCGTGCAGTGGTAGTTTGGAAGGGGAGGAGATTCTCCTTTATGTGTCCGCTGCTCCTCCTGCAGCGGCAGACAGCGCGGCAGCAGCTGGAGAGAGCGGTGCTGCAGCGCCTCCAGCTGATAGCAGCAGCAGCCGCCGGCGCAGCAGTAGCAACGGCAAGATCACCAGCAGAGTGCAGCGCGAGCAGTGGGCTGTCACCGCCTTACATAGCTCTGAAGGCTCCCAGTCATCATTCCTTGAACAGAGTGCAGCTGCAGCAGCCGCAGCAGGCGCGTCGGCTGCTGCTACTGGCGTTAATGTGCCGCTTCACAACGAGCCAGCAGCAGCTGCTGCAGCTGCTGCTGCAGCAGCTGCTGCAGCAGCTGCTGCAGCAGCTGCTGCCCATTCTCAGTTGGAGGGCATGGAAGAAGAGAGGGAGGGAAGCCGTTCTTCTTGCTTGTCGAGTGTCTACACCACTGAGGCCTCCTCAGATGCCTCTCCTGTCTGCGGATCTCCCGATATATCTTTGCCTTGTGCTTCTCCGCTGCCTTTTCAAAGTCAGGAAGGCGATCCTGCTGCTGCTACTGGCGCTTCTGCCAGCTGGAGGCGAGGCACCAACTCGCACACGGCGACCAGCAGCAGCAGCAGCAGCCGCGCGCAGGTTTCGCTGTTTCCCCCTGCATCAGTGGTGCCGCTCTCTGTGCTGCGGGAGGCAGCACTGCCCTTAGCGGCAGCTCACCCCAGCAACTTCTTGAGCCTAGATGAACACGTGCCTTTCTTTGTTAGGCTGCTGGAGGGCGCCTACAAACATCCTGCATGCAGACCCCCAGGATGCACAGGCCTAAACGTGCCTCGCCCGGGAGTTAGCGAAGCCGAGTTTCAGGTATATCGGTTGCTGCTGCTGCTGCTGCTGCTGCTGCCAACAGGACTGGCTTCCTGTTCTCAACAGCTGCTGGGCTGCGGCTAATTGCAGGTTCAGTTGCTGCGGGTTTGCATGCGCAGCTCTGGATGCAGCAGAAGCTGCAAGAGGGAACGACAGACATGGCGGAGGTTTACGGCGACCCCACAATGGAAATGTCTGCGCACAAGGTGCTGCTGGAGGAGACTTTCATCAAGTCTGGATTCATTTCAGGAGTCGTGCAGGTACAGTGTTGGGTTGCCTAGGTAGCCAACTCACCGAATTTGTGAAATAGAAGAGTCATTAGTCTCCGCCTAGCTAGCTAGCTGGCTAGCTAGATAGCTTCCTAGCTAGCTAGCTAGGTAGCTCGCTAGTTAGCATCGGTGCGACCTGGCGAATGGCACTCGGCAGTTCAGTCGCCAGTCTTTAGCTGGGGTTGCTGTAGGCTCCGTGTGCATCTCTGCAGAGCAGGTGGTACCTGTATGCAAAATCAAACAGCAGCAGCAACAGCACCAGCCGCAGCAGCTCACCCGTTTCTTTGTTTTTCATTGCGTCGCCCTTCGTGCCTCGTCACTGTGTACGCAGAAGTTCGATGTTTGCACGTGGGATTTGCTGCTATTATTCTCTGCTGCTGCTGCTGCTCAGAGCCTCATAAGAAAGAGAAGCCGCCGAGCCTGTCTGCAGCTGCTGGCGGCCATTGGCGCCCACGCGCAGCCCTTTCGTTGTCTTGCTGTCTTCCACGCTGAGGTGGAGGCACAGTTGCTGCAGACCCCACTTGCCCTTGTCTCCGCACTGCTATGTTGTATTCCCAAGTGCGCACGGTTTGCTGCTAGTGCTACTGCTGCTGCTGCTGTGGGCGAGCCTCCAGCATTGGCTCTAGCTGTGCAGACTGCTTGGCTACACTGTTTTCTGGGGCGCAGTTTCTCCATGAAGCGCTGCAGCTGCTGCTGACTCTACCGTTGTGACTTAACTGTGCTACTGCTGGTACTGCTCCCAGTGCGCTGGGACGTAGCGACTTGTATTATCACTCTGTTGCTTGTTCCACTTGCACAAAAGTGCATAAATTCGTGTCCTTTTCGGACACGCATTTTGTGCAGGCGTTGATGCAAGCACATGTGTGCAAGGGCGTTTGTTTTCAGGGGGCCATTAGGCCGCTTGGGTGTGTCCTTCATTGCAGCCATCGATGCGCTGCAGCAGCTAGTGGGTGTGGTGCCTGCGCTGCTTGAGCACTTGACTGTATCACACTGGCAAGGGCTACTGGAGCTGTTCATCACGCGGAGATCGCACCACATATTTGCCTCCAAGCTTTTGTGCATACTCAGGAGGGTGCGCTGCTGTTGCTGCTGCCGCTGTTACTGCTGCTGCTAGCGCTGTCGGTGCAGAGGGAAGAAGGGCTTCAGTGAGGCGGTGCAGCTTGCTTGTGAATGTTTGTTGCATTCGGAACACCTGCGTGTAGGGTTTCATGCATGCATGAAATGCATGCACGGTGGCGAACTGAGCTGTGTAGACGGCAGAAACGCACCCATGCATGCTTCGATACAAAGAAGCAAGCCCCGCTGCTGCCATGCATGCATACATCGGCACAAAAAGAAGGATATAAAGATGCGCTCATGCCTACATTTTTGCATGCGTGCAGGCTCTGGACTTGGGGTCTGAGGAGATGCACCGCCGGCTACTTGCAGACTGTCGCTTGCTGGACCGTTTGGACCACGCAGTGTCTCAGTACCGCCAGAGTCACAGCCAGTCGAAGAGGCAGCCAGGTGAGAGGCAGACAAACGTGGAAGCAGAGCAGCATTCACAATAAATAATAGATCAGCTCCAGGCTGATGACATAGATCTCAGACAAAGAAAAGGATGACTTAAGTGAAAGCAGTGAGCAGGTAAGAGGCGCTGAGTTACAGTGTCAGGGCTCTTTTCGTCGCCGTTACAATTGCGCCTCATGCGGCACTGCATCCCTGCCTGTTTATCCGTGCAGCTGACGGCCTGGGGCCCATTGTGGATCTTTTGATTCACATGAGCATACATGTGCAGCTTGATGGTGTTGTGCCGGCTCTTTGCCCCTCTTCTCCTTCCTCTGGTATGAACACCCCTCGCTTGGGGCCCTGCACCCCGCGTAGCAGTAGCCAGCAGCAGCAGCAGCAGCATACGCTAGCTTTGAAACTCTTCTCCCCAAGGAGTGGCGGATTCGATGCTGCCAACCCAGCAGCAACGGCAGCAACAGCAACTGGTGCTGGTGCGAGTCCTGTAACCGTCACAGCAGCAGTTTCGACGGTGTCCCCAGCGGCGTTGCTGCACTCTTTGCTCCCAGTAATTCCCATCCTTCCTCCAGCAGCATCATCAGCGCCAGCTGCAACAGCAGCAGCACCCGCTGTTCCGGCTGCTGCTGCTCCAGAGATGGCACCCGCTGAAGGAGGCGTGCATGCTGCAGACACAGTTGTGGACTTGCCCAAGGTCTCCTTGCCTCTCACTCCACTTGTGCGCCTTGTTGCGGAGGACGAACAGCAGCCGCAGCTGCAGCAGCAGCAGGAAAGACGCGAAGGCCTTGATGGGATGGCACGACAAGCAGCCAGGACCTCCGCCAACCCACATACAGCAGCAGGTGAGCTGCAGGTGGCAGCATGCATGAGGCCAAGTGGGGACAACCCCAGCAACAGCTGCAGCACGGAAACTTCTGCCTCCCAGCAGCAGCAGCAGCTGTCACAGCAGCAACAGCACGAACCTGCAGCGGAGAGCTCCTCTGATGGGGCCTTGGCTTTGTGGCGCACCGGAGGAGGCGTCTCGCGTGACAATCGCCACCAGGCACTGAACAGCGCCAGCAGCGGCAGCAGCAGCAGGAGCTCAGCTGTTTCACAACCTCTAACGCCGCGGCCCCAATCGCCTGCAGCACGATCGCCAGCGCAAGCAGGAACAACATCTCCAGCAGCAGCGTATGATACCTGTGCAGAGGGTCATGTGGCAGCTGTCGTCCACTTTAGAGGGTCTGAAGGGGTGCAGCCGATGGAGATTGATTTTGACCACTTCTCCCCTCCTGTGTCACCAACGGCTGCCACCACCACGCAAAACGTGCGGGCGGCTGGAGCGGTAAGCAGCAACAACTGCATGCAACATGTGTGCTACTTGCGGTGCTGTACATCTTTACACATTAGCAATTAGTTCCTTCTTTGGATCTGCTGCAGCAAACTACTGAGGCTTTCGTCGCCACCCCGCCGACTCCCCAGCCGCTGATTACTGAGGAGGGGTCAACGCAGCCCTGCAGCAGCAGCAGCAGTAGCAGTCCACGCCGACTGTCTCCTCCCCAGCCAGTATCAGCAGCGTCTGCAGCAGAGCAGCCACTTTCCGTAGCAGCAGCGACGGCGGCAGCACCCTCAGCAGCAGCAGCATCAGCAGAAGCTGAAAGCGTGCAACTGTCTCCCGTCAGCTACACGGACAGCAGCAGCAGCGACGGCAGCAGCAGCGATGGCAGCAGCAGCGATACCATTAGCAGCAGCAGCGATACCAGCAGCGAAAAAGACAGCGCGAGGCGCTGCCTCGATGTGCCGGGGAGCCACCAAGGGGCACCGATGACTTACGTGACTCAGTTTTTGCTGCAATCTCGCAAATGGCAAAAGTTGCAGCGTTTTATATCGTGAGCTCATTGGTTTATTTCGTCGTCTGTTGGGCATACCCTCATGAAAATACCTAATGCATCTTCACCTCCACTATGCAGTGTTTCTGGTATTAACACTATTTATGCTGCACAGATCTTGTCTTTGTTTGTACTGTCTGCCAACTTTGTGTGTTCATGTTTCTTCACTGCCGTTAGTGCCATCTGCTATATAGAGCGGTACACAGGCTTCCCCTGATACATAACGACCTTACCAAGCGCTCCCTGGTTGCCTCGTGTGTGCTGTTTGTGCTGCTGCTGTTGCTGCTACAGGAAGCAGCGGAGGGGCCCCTTCTTGGATCTGACAGACCCAAACAACTTCATGCCAGTAGACGAGGCTAGGCGGGTAAAGGAAGAAAGGAAAAGGCAAGAGAAACTGCAACATCAGAGAGAGGTATGGCCATAAGTAAAAGTAGCAGCAGCAACAGCAGCAATAACGAACAGCAGCAGCGACAAGTTGCACTCGGGTGATGACTGTAGCGGGGAATTACTGAGATTGTTCTCCGCGTGTCCCAAAGCGACCCTCATATAGATGTATTCCCCGTTCGGTTTTGTCTTTTTTGCAATTTTCCATGGATTTTGCTTTTCTTTGTGGTGTTACAGGGCAAGCATCGGAAGAGCAAATCTGAGAAAAAAGTAGGTTAACAGGGTAGTCACCAGCCAGCCCCTGCCGTTATATGCATGCAGTCAAGCCCTAGCCAGTGTGTTCTGTGGCGTGGGTTCATGTGGGTTTTTTTTCAGCGCAAGAAAGAGGGCAGCCACCACTCGTCCCATGGTCACACACCCCGTGTGGTGTTGCCGCCTGAGCAACTTGGTGAGGCCGACGAGGGTCCTCAGTTTAGGCAGGCAGAAGCAAGCCTTTTTAATACGCAGCCGCTAGGGGATGGAAATCCGGGAGACATGCAGCCGCTGCGACAGCTGCAGCAGCAGCAGCAGCCATGGAGGTCGTAGCCCTTAGGCAAGTGCGGTTCTGCCTGTTTCTATTTTATTTAGGTGACCGGCAACGTGTTTTTAGACCCTACCATTATTGTGATGGCTAGAACTATCATCATTATCACTAGTACCTCTGGCATTCTTATGTGCTCTTGGGGCCCTTAACAGTCCTTAGGTACCAAGGACGCAATCATTCTCCTCTGGCCTGGCCAGTGGAGACTCAGGTAAAACAATTGGCAGCTACAGCTGAGGCCGTAGCTACCTGTAGCAGCTGCTGTAGTAGTTGCTTTTGCAGCAGCAGGTGCTACACTTTATTGCCGCTGCGGAGCAGCAGTAGGGCAGCTATGCGCGTAGTAAGGAGTCACATTGAGACCGGCTGCAGCAGCCGCTGCGGCTGCCGCTGCCACTGCAGCAGCAGCGGCAGCCATGCCTACTTGTGTAGGTCTCCCCGCGCACTGCCTTAACTATGAAAACGAAGGCGTATGCAAGAACACGTGAAGAGGCAACAGCAAAGCTGTGCCCTCTGTGTCTTGCTAGCTGTAGCTAGCCGGATTAGCGTTCGTAGTCCTATGCTTCAGCTGAAGCAGCAAAAACAACAGAAGTCTTTGGAGATCATGGCAGAGTCATCGCATGCTCAATTTGGGCCACCAAGACGAAAACAAGCAGCAAATTTGTACTTTTGCATATCTATTGTGGCTGTTGCTGTTGAGTGAAACACAAACAGCGTAGATGCTTACTGGTGACGGATGAAGAGGCACTGTTTGTCTTGTCGGCTGCTGCTGCTGCGGATCCCTTCTTTCGTTTCTTTTGGAGCTGTTCACAGCGCAAGGCGTGTGCTTGCTTCTCTCGTGCTTCTATGCGCCGCTGCAGCTCCGCTGCCCGGCGCTTGACCTCTTCGCGGTTCCTGTGCCACATAGTGACGACCAAAATTTTGTCTCTACTCAAGAATTGAAATTTACAATATTGGCAATAATGCGTGCTGCTGTTTATGCAGAGCGCGTCCTTCCTGTAGCCCTTAACCCTAAAGCACAGGTGTCCCCCTTGCAATGCATCTTGCAACTTGCGACACAAGAGTCTAAGATTATCTGTTGGCAGCGTCAATTGCGACAGTAAGACTGGTACCAACCTTGCACTCCTCTTGTAAAGTTCCATGAATTTGTTTTTGAGCTCCTGCTGCCTCTTAGCGCGGCGGTGCAGTGCCTCCAGCACCCTCGCTAACGCCTGCGGTCACAGGTAATGGCAAACAGCCAACTCGTCACGTATGTGATCCACGCTAGCGGTCACAGGGAAAAAGGGGAGGGGAGATCTGTGGCGAGGTTTGTCATGCTGAACTTTATTGCTTGCCTTTTGTGTTTGTGTACATTTGGAGTTGAAGAGTTCCTCCCTCTTGCCCAACGCCTGCTGTATGCGTAGCATGTGTTTTGCCAGCCTCTCGAGTGTGTCTTGCCTTATTGTGGCTCTTCGGGCCTCTGCATCCCTCAGCTTTTTTTCAACACCAGGACGATCTCCCTTCTTGTAGCGCTGTTGCCACCGTTGCAGCACTTCTTCGTAATATTTCTGGCAGATGTTCTCGCTGCTGGCGGCCGGCTGCACGCAAAAAATGACAAGCGCTTGTTCTGGTGTTGGCTTTTTGCCTTGGTGCAGGGCGCTGTGTCTCGCGAGGCTCAGATCTCGTACGTTGCTTGGTGTGTAGCACTGGGGCGACATCCAGATGATGCATCAGCAGCACCTGGTAGTAGACGCTATAGCCATTGCTGTGCTTCTTCTCGCTGACAAGTATAAGCCTGCCGGCTTGAGCAGCAATCTGGCTCCGCAGCTCCTGCAAAGAAGTAGCCCCCTCGGCAGTGTTAGGTGACCCCGGCATAGAGCAGGGAATGGCTTGTGTGGCCTTCTCAGTCGACATTTTCAATCGATCCGCAGGCTCTTGTTTGTTCTATTTATTTAAAGCCGATTTTTTACTGATGCTTATGAAGTAAAACCCTTTTCATAAAGTGCACCGACAGCAGCACGGCAGAGGGGCTGGCCCGAGGCCGAAGCAGCCTAGCGGCGTCAAACAAGGACAGCCCTTGCAGCACACGAGAAAAATGTGGCGAGAACTCAGTTCTACAATTTTTAAAGGGCCACTTATGTGCTTGTCTTCTTTTTGAGGGATTTCCAAGTGATCGCAGCAAATAACAAGCTTAAGCGCCACGCAACAACGTGCAGTCCACAACCTGTAATAAACAGGTCAAGCAGCAAAATACACTGAAAAACCCATATGAAAAAGCGTTGATCTAAGCAATATACTGGTTTAGAAATACGAATTTCTCTACCTCTGGATGCGAAGTAAACTGTTCACAATACGAAACCTACAAGCCAAGTTCATGTCTTGCAGTTCGAATCATGCAGCACATGCCTTCATTCAGGTATTACCTACACTGATCAAAAGAATGCGTTAGTGTGCACGTCGATAAACTTTGCTGTGTTGTCCTGGCTCCTCGAAACTTCAGCCACCTGGTCCGATTATTTACCATTTGTTTCAGGGTTGAGGACTAGAAAATTCGCATTCTGGTGCAACATATGTGGCAGCTCCGTGCACTGTCAGGTCCATACAAGCAACCCCTAATAGTGAGGCAAAGCGCTTGACCTTGTACCCGAACCGAAATTAAGTTCTCCTAATCAAGGCTACTGAGGACTAAAGAAAGGCTAAGCCAAGTTCCGTGTGTCATAGCGTTCCTCCTTAAGTGAACTGAAAAATCTAGAGAAAAGCCTCGCCAAAAAAAAAGGCTTAAAGCTAGTAGGGTCTGATCATTATGCAATGATTATCACGGAGGTCGGCAGTCCGGTGGCTGCACCGGCGGCACTTCACTGCCGACCAGAAAAGATGAAAGCTTGCAGCTAACTAGCTGTTGTCGTGCGAGTGCAGGGCTGCTGCCGGTTTTATGCATAAATCCAAGGGTATATTCTAAAAACAAAGCTCCTTATTTTATTTACAAGCCAAGTGTTACATTTTTTGCGTAGATTTGTGCTTCACGCTGCTAAGTCGGCGTCTATGCATTGGCTCGAGTGACATGTTGACTTTTTGCATCAGCACAGCAGCGATCGCTTCGGGAGGCCAGCCGACCATCCGCCTCAGAAGCGAATCCTCTAGTTGCGCCAGTGAAGATGGCATCCTGGGGATGGTACTGAATCTGCGGGGGCCCTGAAGGGCTGGCTTTATTTTTGTTAAGCAGTATCCAACTTGTGTGTGACCGTTGCCTTCTCGGCTTACCTTCCGAGTCGGCATGAGACTTGCACCCCTACCGGCTGTTGATGCAGCAGCTAGCCGCTGCGAGGGAGCCCTTTTGCGGGCTCGCCGGACGGGTGCAGCAGTGGCCCTAAGCTGCTGACGCGAATTGCTGCTGGATTGGCGCCGCATTGCCCCAGCACTATGGGCATCTCTCCGCTTCTCCTTTCCAGAACCCTCAGCTCCAGTCTTGGCTTTTGGCTTGCTGTTGGTGCCCGATCGCCGCATTTTGGTACTGCTGGAGGCTTTCATTTTCCTGGCGGGACGAGGGAAGGAGAGGCCCCCATCACCCGTCGGCCCCGTCGGCTCGGCAACAAAGGCGTGAGCAGCCACTCGCCGTGCCACCATTGATTTAGGGGCGTCAGCAGCCGCAGGGGGCTTCATACTGACCGAATAAGGCAGAGGCGGGAGAGAAGCCCGTTCTGCGCTACAGCGCTGAGCTGGAGCACTAGCAGCTGATAGCTGTGAAGAATAGAACATGGCTGCAAGGCGTTGCTCTTGACTTTGAGGCGAATGACGGAGCCTTGAAGTAGTCGACAGTGGAGGCAAAGAGCTGCGACGTGGGCCCTGGCAGGCAAAGTCGCCGTCGATACTGCATTGGGTGCAGGTAGCTTCTGAGTCCCTGTTTCCATCCGCCTTGGTCTTGCTGCTGCTGTTTCCCTGGCTAGTGAATTGGGAAACGCTGCCGTTGCTGTTTTCCCGGCTAGAGCCCCCCGCCGTCGCGTTTTCTGTGGAGCTGCGTCTGTAGGCGCTGGAAGTCGAGGTGGCCCAAAACATGAGGGCCGTCAGCCCATCAACTCTCCGTGGACCTGACTGCTGAACGGCATAATGGGAATGCACCGGGAGGGAGGCTTCTTCAGCAATCTGGCTGGAACTCAAAGTACCCAGAGGGTAAAGCTTGTGCTTTGATGCTTCATCAGCTGGTGCAGCAGGTGCCGCTGTAGCAGCTGTAACTGTTGTTGTTGTTGTAGGGGCTGCTGCAACAGCTACTGCTGTGTAACCTGCTCCAGGAGGTACAGTCGGCCCTACCACAAGCCTTGAATTTTCGCCCTTCACACTGTTGATGCCCAACGACTGTGCTCCGGTAACTGCAGCAGGGCGGGGTTCTGAAGGGCCTGTCTGCTCCGTGAATGCAATGCAGCTTGCTTCACTTTGGACTAGGGAAGCTTTTGTTTCAACCGGCGGCAGTTGAGCATAATTTTCTATTGGGACAGGCAAAGGCATACCAGAAAATGACCGCCGCGCTGCACAAGCTGAAGACAAAGCCAGCGGACGCCACCGGCGACCAGAGAATGAAGCTCTGGTTACACTGCCAGTGCCAAACGTCAATCCATCATGCATCACGGAGTCCCCCATAATGCTCCTAGCGGAGCGTGAGGCTTCATCATGAGGTGCTGGAGAACGAAAAGACAGGTGTTGTAAGAGAGGCATCGGTGTCTCAAGATGTGCAGATCTCTTTGCAATCAATGAATTGCCTGCATACCTTTCAGTTACTTGCCGTTTTTGCTGGTTTATCGCACGAAGACTTTGCTGCAGCATTCGTTCTGAGGCCGCCCACGTTTCCGTTGTGTAGGCCTGATTCCTCAGCATTGTTGAGCCCTGTATTTCTCGCTGCGGTGGATAGACAGCAGGGTTTGCTTGTTGCAAAGCTGCAGTGGAGGCCTTTGGAGGATAGCCACCTGCCATCTGACGGTGAGGCTTCTGAGCCAAGGCAGCACAAGGACCCTGTAGCTGCCCTTTGTCTTGATCGGGGCATCGCTGCACACGGCACCGTGGGCGGAAAACAACAGGAGCTACTGAAGAGCGCAAGGAGAGACAAGGCTTCCAGTGAGCTTTTTGGTTAGCGGTGAACAGATCCTTCCGCGGCTCCCGAACCCGAACTGCAGTACCTGCGCCCGCAGCAGTCAGCGCAGGCTGAGCAGATCTCACCATGGGGGTGACCAGGATCTGAAGACCTATGGGGTTGCAAATGCGCGGCTCCCCTTCCAGCCCGCTGTTTCTTAGTGACTCATCGCCCTGTGTTATAGGATCTTCAGTTGAAGCCCTCAGTATGCTGCTCCGTGCTCCGACTTCTACCGGAGGGACAGAAGATAAACGAAATTCCCTCGGCGGGCATGGCTTGTCCGCTGTGTCAAGACGTTGCCTCCTGTATGTTCCTTGATTGCTCGTGCCCCTTTCTTGCGTGTGGGCGCCAACCGGTGCTCCCTCGCAGGGCCTTGCTCTGCAACCGTTATCTATCCTCTCTAGCACATTTTCAGAAATTAAAAAAGCATCAGATTTCCCGTATATAAAAAACAATTCATTGTCCATTTTATCGCGATTTGAATAACAGACAGCACTGCCAAGAAAGAACTGAGTTGGAGGTAGAGCGTCGAGGATGGTCACACGTGTCCATACGGCTGCCCTTAAGTCCGCGACGTTCGCAGCGTACAGAGTTTCTTCAGGGGCCACTGGCCCATCAGCCGCTGCACCTCCATAAATGAGGAAAAGACCAGAAACGAAGGAGCTCGCATGGCGATACCTCGGCGCGGGTGCTTTGCCTAATGGGCGGATCTGCCGCCAAGAGTTCCCTTCGATGTCCCAACACCAGAGATCATCTACAGCCACTCCATTCTCTGAGCATCCAGCGCCTTTTATGCGCTTTGTGTAGCCGCCAAACACCCACATATACCCTCCCCACACTGCCGCTGAGTGTCCAGCACGTGCAGGAGGCCACTGAAATGTAGGGCACTCGTTCACAACCAGCCCGTCTTCTTCAGTAGAAGCTACTATAAAGAGTCTATGCCACTGGCGCGAGAGCTTAGAGAAACTCCACAAATCATCAAAAATGTCCCAAGAGGACGGCAGGAATTCTTCAAGGGAACCGGAGACCTCTTCTCCTTTCTGGCATCCAGCAGCTGCTGCTCCTGCAAACAAAAGGAAGCTTTGGCTTTGCTCATCGGGAGTTACACTGTAGTAGGATCGAGGCCTAGGTGCTGCTGTTCCCTGGCCAACCGGCCACTTTGTGAGGTGTTCGAACTCGACCTCTGCTGCAGTGTTGTTACAATGAGTCTCGTCCCTATGCCCGACGGAGTGTGCAACCAGTCGAGTAGCCTGCTTCGAATCAAGGCTTTCTGCCTCCCCGACCAGAAGCAGCGACTCATCTCCAACACGCACGAAGCCGATCTCTCCCTGGGGGCGTTTCGGGAGCTTTGGCCAACCATTAATATGCAGCACTGCCTTGGTCTCCCAGTGGTCCACCAGTTCCTTTGCAGATACTGTTAGATCGGACTGTCGGCTTCCTGGTTTGGGTGAGCAGCGGATGATGCGGAGGGCGCCGGCCTTCGAATACACGAGCACCCATAATCCATTGGTGTCACTGTGCACCGACAAGGGCTCGAAATCATAAGACATTGGAAAAACGTCAATGGCGGTACAATTTGCGAAGGTCCATTTGGGAAGAACACGGTTTTCAGTCTGGCGGTCCCTCAGTTTAGTGAGACCGGGGCCTCCTGTCTCGCTAACACTGTCGCATCCTGCTCTCGGCTTGAGAACACAGATGCGCGACTGTTGTCTTTCTGTGTCATTGTTATCGTCCCCTTCAAGCTTCTGTTTTGTATCTCCGCAGGTTGGCTTCTCCTGAATAGCAGTGGAAGGCCCGGCCCTTTCGTGCTGTAGGATGTCACATTGCTCATGTCGGCTACATCCATGTGAGCGATCGTCATTCATTTCTGCACAACTGTGAATGCTCCCATCAGATTCTGCGCAAGACATTGCTGCGACTTTATTGCTGTAGAGGCAAGATGAAGCCATACGGTGCGAATCCAAATGTGCTGGGCTGCGTCCACCGTCAGCGGTGGGCGTTGGCGTGCCCGCGCGCTGGTGCTGCTGCATCTTCCCTTACGTCACTTGCCTGTAGATGAAATGCAAAAAATCCATAAATTGTCGAAGGATGGCAAGCAATTCTCTGGTGTGTACTGTTTGCCGCCGCGAAGAACCGCAGCATTCGAGAATCCGAGCTCGATTGCGGAAATTTTGAAGAGCACAGCCGGAACAGCCAGCCATAAGTTCCATAAAAGCCATAAAACTCTGGTCAACTGGACAATGGACAAAAAAAGAGGCACACGGCCAAAGACTTAACAGGAAGTATCGACGTCGTGGCACGCAACCTTTCGGGTCGGCAGCCGCCTTCACTGGGCAGCTGGAACCTATAAAGGGTTTAAAATATCAAAAAGAGTGCAAGCTCAAAAATTTATTAGTTTTAGGAGGAGCTGAAAAAAGCAGGAGCAAACGGACTGTAGCTTTCTGTTATGATTGGCGTCGGAGCAAGCAGCCCGCTTTTATGAGCGGAGGAACTGCGTGTTTCGCGGCCCAAGTTATCCGGCCCCTGGAGATACTAGATATAATTCATTATTCACTTGCATACAGGGCTATATTTATTTTAATTTGTTTCACGCCGTTCATCTGCCAAGGCAGCGGGCACGGGCAAGCTTGCAGCTGACCACTGCGCCGACACCACGGCGCGTCTTGCTGAATCGCAAGGCCGGCGCAGAAGGATGGCTGCCTGCAAAGCTGGTATGTGTTGAACAGCCTGTTAAGTAGATAAATCTGTAAATCGCAGAGTTTGGTGGCGTTTCCTTATCTACCGTACTATATTAAGAGCTTTGTGTCCGGATACTGGACGGAGCCATATTATGGGACTGTTAAGTGACCCACGCACAGCGTTGTGCAGCAAGAGGTTCGTCAGTCGCAGAAGCAGTTTGATACCTTAAAATTCATGTACTGGCATGGCGATTCAAGCGGAGTCACATTTGTGTAGACGCGGTAAATTGTCTTTATAAGGCGGCCTCCGGACTGAGCACTTATGCTAAAGTTGATGGAACGTTTGTGCCCAAAAGACCATTCGTAGTTCCAGCCAAAATTTGGATTCTAGAGAAGTCTCTCACGTGTCCCCCAGATGGACTGTTTCTTCCGCACGGTTTCGCTGCGCTAGGCTCGAAGAAGGCGTGAATTCAATAATGCAAAAAGGCACGGAACTTGGAAATAGCCTTCATCTGGATTTTTATCTTCAGAAATGCATAGCAAGCACTGACGGGATGCTAGCTCATGCAACTAGGCTTTGGGTTTCCACAGGCGTCTTCCGGGACTCAATCAGCGAACGCGTCTGGCTGCTCTGAATCACCATGTTTGATCCTACCAATGGAGAGAGCTCCAGCTGCTCTGAATCACCATGTTCGATTCTACCAAAGGAGAGAGCTCTAGCGTATAGCTTTATGTAGATGGAAATGATAGCAGCGTGCATTTCCTCCAGTAGACGTAAAAATGTCATCTACTGAGAAGCATCACTGAGGCTTCTCCACTTCCGCAACTGGTAGGCAGTTCCTAACTTGCTAGGTGCAACTCTCAGATATCACTTCATCTCCTACAGAAGCTGCTGGAAGCATGGGCGGAAATTCCCATGCGACGAAAACAAACTGAGGCAACTCCTGCTGCAGTATTTACTGCGGATGCCGCAATTGCGCGTGCTGCAGCTGCTAAAACTGGTGCTGCAGCTGTTAACATTTCGGTGGATGCTGCTTCTCCAATCGTTACCCTTTGCTAGCTCTGCTCCTCTAGCAGCAGCAGCATCAACTGGAGAAGGGGGTGTGGCTCATGATGTTTACCTACGTCCTAGTCTTTGAAGTTTGGGATGAGCTGCACCAGTTGGGAAACTTCGAAAGCCTCGAAAATGCTGCTGTCATGCTTACCCTGGTAACCCAATAAATTGACGCCAAAGCTGCAAGGAAGCCTTTTGGGATCTGCCGCCCTTTCGTGGCCTTATCTTTCGATTCCTATCAACTGCTGTGAAGCTAGCCGAATTTAGATGAAATTGGGAGTAAATAAGAGGATCATTGTACCTCAGCGCAGATTAAGACTTTGTCCCCGCAGTGTTCGTGCACAGCCACTTCCCAGCATTTTCATCATTTAAAAGACTGATAGCTGCTTTTTAATCTAACGACAGCCCACTAGTAACAGTAGGGGACGCGCCTTCTCTATAAGTGAGTAGCACCCTTGCATTCTTTGCCATACAATTACAACAAGTCGGAAAGAACTGGAAACAACTCAGCTTAGAGCCAAAAACGCGCACTAACGCTACTCCGTACCGAGTTAAGAAGTACAGAATCCTCAGAAAATTCCCTTGTGGAGTGCCAAATTCGGGTCATTTGAGCGTGTTTTTGGAGCACTCCAGAAGCTTTTTCACACTACAGCCCAAAAGCCAGCAAGCCACTGCTGTGGCCCACATGTCTTTTGCGTCAAACGCTCATGAGCCGCGCATCTTGTTTCTGCATATTAGTTCGCAAAGGCTATACCCATGTGCTAGCTGCTAAAACGCTTGCAAAGCCAATACTCATGTGTTAGCCGCTAGAGGCCCGATAAACAACTAGCAGCAGCGACACTGCATTGGCTTTCTAGGCAAATTCATGTTGTCTGCATAATCATGTAGTGTAGTCGTCTGCTTCTGCTGCGTGGCATTCCTGTCATTTTTTTGTTTTCCGACTTCCTGAGTGGCATCCTTGTCAAAAGTAGACAGCTATGAAGTATCTTTCTCATTTTTGCTGGTCTACTCCTGGCTCACACATGTAAGCGACACGACCACGATTTTGCCAGTCTACTCCTGGCTCACATATGTAATCGACAGGATCACGAACACTCTACATTACCAGAGTCAAATGGCAATAGCAGCAACATCAAAGTGCCATTATACTCGAACATGCTGGCTGCTGCACATTAGGGACTCATTCTTGCTAGGTTGTTTCTGCGGCTCTCATTGCGCCTTCGTATCCTCTACAGGATATGATGTGTGAACGTGTAAATTGTTTTCATAGTATAATTCTTAAACAGCCACCATTGCAAGCGCCTTTTTTGTGGAAATTACTCCGCTCGTGGGAGTGTGGGGTCCCGTACATACGACCATCGGTGAACCACTCAGCAAGCACTTGATTTGCTACTGTACTCTTAATTGTCTTGGAATTTTGGCTGAAAAGCGAAAAGAAGCCAGGCCAGCATCTTCATTATCAAGTAACTTTCTAGCAGTGAGCATACGCAATCATCCCGCCTATCAGTGTCTCCATTTATGCATGTAATAGTTCATTGCAGCACGCGATTTCACTTGCACACTCCCAGCACCGAAAACGGCAACCAACGGGGATGGGGCTCTTTAACCTGTTGCACCGCAACTGCAGCAAGTACAGCAGTACCCCACGACCAAAGGAGCAGTACCTGAAATTGGAGCAGTACCCGAAATATACGCTTCAGAAGGCCATCTTCAACAGTCCCATTTGCAACAAAAAGATCGGAAAGCACAAACTCTCCCATTGCCACATCATTGAACTAAAACAGAAGTTACTAGTGAGGAGTCCGGAGTGCTCCGCCACAAACAATACATTTTTCTGCGCGTTTCACGGATGCAAACCCTTATTATCCGGCGTCGTCAGCTAATTAGTGCAATGTTTGTTTGAAACACTTTCTCGCATTTTAAGCGCTCCTGAACGTGATCTCCGCACGCAACCATGAACAACGGCGATTAAACGATGCACAATAAGAATTTAATCTCTGCATCCGCACCATTCTAGATTCGACCAGCGCAAATACAACGTCAAGAAAATGGGACCTGCGCCAACTTGTTTAGCTGTCGTAGCTTTAGTGTTGCCGTCAGCATGAAGCGTGAGCTGCTCCACTGCAAAACACTGCATAGGCCACACTAATGCCTATTTGCGCTCTATGCTTGCTCGGTGTGTGTGTGTGTGCAGCATCAAACAGACTGGCATGCGAATAATACATCCACTGCCGTTGCTGAGCTGCCCATCTTCGCAGGTACTGCACTGCTTCGATGATCTGCTTCTATTGTGGGAAGCCAGAAACAGCAGTTACAACCGAACCAAAACAGAAAGCAACACCAACTAGCCCAGCCGCTCCCTTGCGCAGCATTCCCAGCATTACGCAATGATTCTTGCCATAATTTGAACACTGAAATGTAGGAACCCTGAATAGCCCGAACTTTCGACACAGAGTCATAATGGTCTAAATCCCAAATCCACACTATGAAGCTGTCAAAAATAAAGCTGAAGCGCTAGTATTCTCGGATGCACTTTCGTTTGCCATCCTGGTCGAGAGCGTAACGCTTAAACTTTCCCACGGCTTGACGTTAAAAGCCTGTTTTTTCCCTTTATCTTTTCTAGTCCTACAAAAGATAGTCTCCACCAAAGGTTTGCCAGGCGTTTTGCACGAAGCACCGAGACCACTGAGCATATATACATACACAAGAGGCGATACTGCAATGTCGCCAGCAGCTTAAGCAGCAGCTATTGGCCCCTGGACGAGGATGGTACCGGAACAGAAGCGAACGAAGGTCTAAGCGAGATAAACAGGAGAAACAACGGGACCAGCAGACACGACATCACCAGCGTGGTCCGACCGCTGCATAGCTAGCTAAATATTCTCCAGGATTTTTTGTGAGACGGGTGTCTTGCAAGCACATCACGTGTTGAAGCCTTATTTTCGGCTTAACTTCCCGCTGCTTCAGCGGGATATGCAGCAGCAACCGTGGCTGCACGAGCAGCAACAGCAGGAGCACCTGCTCAAAAACAGTGGGCAATACAGCAGCTGAACTATGGCATTCAGTTGCAGGTGCGGCAGTTAGTTCCTGTTATCAGGGACAAACAGGAGACAGTAAGCAGTGAGGAATGCGGCAGCTGCACCATGGCATTCAGCAGCAGGTGCGGCAGTGATTTTCTGCTACCAGGGACAAACAAAAGGCGAAAGACAGCCGTGAACATTGTAGGGGCGTTTTGCGAAGTGGAAATGGAAGGAGTACCTAACGCGAGCAGCTGAACTTTGCTCAGTGAGGAATGCAGCAGCTGAGCCATGGCACTCAGCAGCAGGTGCGCCAGGGAGTTCCTGCTACCAGGGACAAACAGAAGACAAAAACAAGCCGTGAACATTATAGGGGCGCTTTGCGACAAGGAAGCAATAGCAGCCCTAAAGTTTGTTTCCTGGGGAATGAGTTCAGGCAGGTTCCTGCTGCTGCTACCCCTGTTGTGGCTGCTGTTACTGCTACTCCTGCTGAGGCTAGTGCTGCTGCTACTACTGCTGCTAATGCTGCCATTGCTCTAGCTGGCAATGCTTTAGGGGGGAAAAGGTGCCCAACAATGGCACAAGCAGGAGTAACGGCTGCTGCTGCACCGTGTAAGAAGGGGAAATCAGCGTAAAAGGCAACATTAAGTTGTAGTAGAGCTTTTGTAAAACGGTCGGAGGGGAAAAGAGACCAAGAAAAGCAGGGAGGAGACTACCACTTTGCAACACGCCAGGCGTCTGGTTCAGCTTTCAGCGCTCAAGGTTTAAAGTGTGAGGTTGAGGTCATAAAATTCAGTTCCTGAGGCCTAGAGGTTGCCGTTGTTACGCGATTTATTTTGCAGTTGATGCGTGTGATAAGCAGAAGTAGCCTTGCTAGTTGTAGCTTTGACGGCAGCAGCAGCAAGAGATGATAGCAGCAGCAAGGCCCCTACTGTAACAGGTGTTTTTTGCAGGGTTTCGCGTCAATATATGCACGTGGTGCAGCAACAGCAAAATCAGCAGGTTGTGCACCAGCTCGAGTGTTGGTTATCACCGGGAACTACTGGCAGCAGCAACTTCGAGGTACTGCTGCAAAGTCAGCTAATGTCGGAATCAATGAGCAGAGCATCGGTAGCAGATCTGTCACAGGAACTGCGGGTCATAATTTGTGTGGGTTTTCTTCCCTTAAATGTATGAGTGATTATAAACAAATTGCACGGGAGACTTTCCCTCAATGTATGACCGATTGTAATGTAAAGCAAATCGCACAGAAGGCTGGGTTTGCTGCTGCTGCTGCTGCTGGTGCTCAGGCTGCCGATGCACCTTTGCTCCACATACACTGCAGTCTGATGCAGCATGTGTAATTCCACTGGTGCGGCTGCTGTTTCTGCTGCAGCTGCTGCTTTTGCACATCCGCATCTGCTGCGGCAGTGCCGCAGTGCTGGTGTATCTTTGCAACAGCTGCCAATGCATTCACCCCTACGGTTTTCGGTGCACCTGTTGGTGGCTCTGTTGCCGCTGCTTACTTCACTCTAGTTGCTGGGAAATGCACTTCATCTGCTGCTGTTCAGCACGTCCCTTGCGGCGAGTATTATACGCATCTCTTTGAAATTTCTTTTTTCGCTTGCTTCCTGCAGCAATGCTGTGTATTTTCGCTTACTTCCTGCAGCAATGCTGTATTGTTTCTGCATGTTCAACACTTCCCCAACATCGTGCGCTTCACTGAAAATATCCTTTTTGGCCCAACCTCGGGCCAGAGCAGACAGCAAAAATAAGTTTCTCAGTAAGGCTCTTGGTTGTGCTGCTACATCTTGCGGAATGCTCTTGCTGCAGCTCTTTGTACTGGACATCATGCTGATGCCACCGTGCATGCCACAGCCTCATGGCCTCCGATTATCCTTCTGCTCCTACAACCTAACTGGTCCTCCTGCTGGTACTGCTGATGCTGCAGGCGCTTCCTCCGCAGCGGATGCCACTATAGCTGCTGCGTGACTTTCTTTTTCTCTTGTTGCCCCTGCATTCTTGCCGATTTTTTCCGATTTGTGCCCTTTTTTTACCTTCTCTGGGAGCCAAATGCTATCTCACCAGCATTCATGCCCAGAAGACCTCATTCTGTGGTTTGCCCTGCAGTAACAGCACCAAGCAACATCAAACAGTCTGTGTGGCTGGGTTTCTTTCTGCTTCTGGTTGTATACAGTTGATGCTGCTGTTCGCCGCACTCGTCTTCATGCATCTGTTTCCTACCTACACGTGTCAATTTTGTGCCCTTGAAGTGAATTTTCACACATGCAAACGCATTCGCCGTGCTGCTGTTGCAGATGCTACTAGCGTTTCAGCAAGAGTGACACACTGGTTTGCTGTAGCAGCCAGAGAAAGGAGTAACCATACAGGAAGTAGAACGGCCAAGCAGAAGCAGGTAAATTGGCGTTCGCAGCAGCAGAAGCACTAGAAACATCTGAATACTGCTGCTCACACTGTTCACCGATACAACATTTCGTTTGTGCTAGCCAGAAAGAACAGGGCGCATAGCCAACCAAGCAACATCACCAAGCAGAAATAGAGAGCAGCACCACCAAACAACAGCAAAACGCAGCAGCTCCGAGCAGCACAACCAAAGAACAACAGCACGCAGCACCACCAAATAACGGCATCAGGCAGCACAACCAAGAAACAGCAGCAGCAACAAAGAGCAGCAACAGACAGCAGCACCAAGTAACTGCAGGAAATATTCTGGTGAGTCTATTTTTCATGCTGTCGCTACTTGCGCAGGTATCTTGACCCAGCACTCCACTTCTGTTGCTGCAGTCCAAATCCCAGCTTCATGACATTCAGAGGCCCACAAGTTTCGACCAAGTTGCTGCTGCCGCTTCTGCTGCTCTTGTGGCTGGTTGAAGAAATGCAGCGGTCTGAGCCCACTGCTACGCGTACGGGTGTCTCTTCTGACCAATTTCCGAATTCCTCTATATTTTTTCCCTATACCAGAAATGATGCAGAAAGAACATCTTGTCTGTAATATGAATCGCGGTATAACAGCCGCAAGCACCACGGAGTAGCAGGAGGTGCCAGCACCAGAAAGCAGCAGCAGCAGCAGCAACAAATAAAAGGCAGCAGCAAGCAATAGCAGCAACACACAGCAGAATGCCACGACAGCCACACGCAGCAGCAGGCAGCAGCAGCCATCAGCAGTAGCAAATAGCGGCACCGACCAGCAGCGAGCAGCAGGCAGCAGCAGCAGCAAATAGCGTGCAGCAGTACGTATCAGCAGCAAGCGGCAGAAGCAAGCAGCAGCAGTAAGCGACACCACCCAGAAGCAGCACTACGGGACCGCAACAAACAACAGCAGCGAGCAGCAGCAGCCAGCAGCCCTACCACCCTGCAGAAGCAAGAGGCAGCAAACAGCAGCAGCACCAAGTAGCATCGAGTAAAAGCAGCACCACGTGGGAACAGCGCGCAGCAGCCGCAGCGGCAGCTGTTTCTGCTGCTTACTGTTGCGTGCCCCTGCGGCACGCAACAGTAAGCAGCAGAAACAGCAGCAAGTAGCAACAGCAGCAAAGAAGAACAAGCAGCACCAAGCAGCAATAACAAGCAGCAATAGTGGCAGAACCAGCCAGCACCAGCAAGAAACAACAGCAGGCAGCAGCGGCAAATAGCAGCAGCATGCAGCATGAAGCGGAAGCAAGAAGCAGCACCCAGCAGCAGCAGCAGGACGCAGCTACATCAAGGAGCAACAACGAAGAGCGAAAGCAAGCAGCAATAACAAACAGCAGCAGCAAGTAGCAGTAACAGGCTGCAGAAGTTAGACGCCCCTGGATACTTGGTGATCTCTGCACTTTCGACACTGGAGAGGCAATTCCTCCCTTTCTAGGTGTTACTCTCAGATGTTACTTCATCGCCTCAGCAAATGTTGGAAGGTTTGTTGAAAACTCCCATGTAACGAAAACAATTTGAACCAGCTGCTGCTGCAGTATTTGCTTTTGATGCTGCAAGCGAAAATGCTGCAGCTGCAAGAATTTGTGCTGCCGCTGCTGATGCTTCAGCTGATGCTGCATCACCAACCGTTTCCCTTTGTCAGCTCTGCTCTTCCAGCAGGGGCAGCATCAGCAGAAGCTGGAGAAGACGGTGCGGCTCATGACACTTTCCCACGTCGTAGTCTGTGAATTTTGGGATGAGTTGCACCTATTGGGAAGCCTCGAAAATGCTGCCATCAGACTTATTCTGGTGACCCAGTACCCTAGGCCCAAAATTGTAAGGCAATTCTTTGGATCTAGCGCCTCTTCGTAGCCTTGTTTTTTGATTCCTATCAACTGCTGTGGAGCCAGACGGATTTGGACGAAATTAGGAACAGCAAAACCTAAACTAAATACTGATGGCTGCTTTTCAACTCAACATCAGCCCAGTTAAAGTATGAGGCGCATTTTCTCTGTAAGTGAGCATCACAATTGGATTATTTGCTGCTCAGTTACAACTAGGAATTGGAGCGAACTGGAAGCAACTTAGTTTGAAGCCCCAAATGTGAATTAATGATACTTTCTACTTGGCTAAAATGCGCAGATTCTTACTTTTCAATGCTTCATCATGCACGTGTATATTTACTTTCTTTTAGATTTGTTGAGGGCATCAGTTCAGGGCATCAGCTGTAGTACAAGCCTGGCTTCCTATAACAGATTTGTGCCAAATCACAGGTGCTTTTTCCACTGAATGTTGCGCAGAATTTGGAGGGGAGTCCCTTGTACGGTGCCAGAAGTGGCCCTTTTAAGGATGTTTTTGAAGCATTCACAACAACAATTATGCGCCTGTCACAAAGAACAAGGCAACGTTAGCAAGCAACATTACCAACCAGACTCACCACGCAGAAATAACGAGCAGCAATAGCAAGCAACAGCGACACCCAGCATTTCCAAGCAGCACCAGTCAGCAGCAAGCAGCAGCACCAAGCAACTGCATCAAACACTTTGGTGCGTCTACTTTCCGTGCTGTTTCTTCTGACGCAGGCCTTTTGATCCAGCACTGGGCATCATGCTGCTGGTGCCTTTCATACCTCAGCTTCATGGCATCCCGATATCCATAAGTTCCACTCAGTCTGTTCTACCGCTTTTGCTGCTGTTACGACTACCTAATGAACTGAAACGACCTGAGCGCATTGCTGCGCATATGAGTGCCTCTCATGCCAAATCTCCAAAATTTTCTTGGTTGTTTCCTCATTTCAGAAATGAAGGAGCCGCGAGCAATAGCAGCAACACACAGCAGCAGGCCACAGCAGCAACACGCAGCAGCAGTCTGCAGCGGCAAGCAGCAGCAGCAAACAGCAAGCGGCAGCAGCAAGAGGCAGCAGGCAGCAGCAAGAGGCGGCATGCAGCAGCAAGTAGCTGCAGCAAGCAGCAGAGTCAAGCAGCAATAGTAAGCAACAGCACCAAGCACCAGCAGTGGGGAGCCACGACAAATAGCAGCGGCAAGAAATAGCATGAAAGAGCAGCAGCATGCAGCAGCAGCAAGCAGCAGCAAGCCGCAGCAAGCAAGCAGCAGCGCGATGTAGCAGCAAGTAATAGCACCACGTAGGAGCAGCGCTCATTAGCCGCAACGGCGCGGCAGCAGCGGCATGCAACAGTAAGCAGCAGAAGCAGCAGCAAGTGGAAATAGCAGCAAGGAGAAAGCACCGGCATCAAGCAGCGGCAAGCTGCGATAACAGGCAGCAGAACAAGGGAGCACCAGCAAGAAGCAGCATGAAGCAGCAGCAGCAAGCAGCAGCAGCAAGCAGCAGCAGCAAGCAGCAGCAGCAAGCAGCAGCAGCAAGCAGCAGCAGCAAGCAGCAGCAGCAAGCAGCAGCAGCAAGCAGCAGCAGCAAGCAGCAGCAGCAGCAAGCAGCAGCAAGCAGCAGAAACGAAAAGCAGCGAGCAGGAGCAGGGGGCTCCAGCAAGCAGCAACAACGAACAGCAGCAAGCAGGAGGAGCAGCGCGAAACAGGAGCAGTAGCACTCAGCAGCAGTAAGCAGCTGCCGTAAGCCACAGCGGTAACCAGCAGCAGCAAGAAGCAGCAGCATCCAGCTCCCCCCAAAAGCAGCATGGAGCAAGAGGACCAGCCAGCGCCAGCAAGCAGCAGGACCATGGGACAGCAGCATTTGCAGCAGCGAGGGAAGGCAAGAGCAGCAACAAACAGCAGCAGCAAACAGCAGAACGAAGTAGCAACAACCAGCAGCACCAAGAGAAGCGGCGAGCAGCAACAGCAAGCAGAAGCACCATGCAGCCATACCCTGATGCTCGGTGCAGCAGCACCGAGCATCAGGGCCTGGCTGCGGAGTTTCGCCATATTACTTGGGATGACCAGTGCTCTTGGTCAATTTCTAAGAGTGACTGTAGGCGAATATGCCTCTCATCAAACTCTACATTTGTGCGTGGAATGGATTGTAACAACATGCAAGCCCATACAGGAATTTCTAGCACTGAAAGGGCGACCAGTGATAGTGGGGTTTTTAAACCTGCTGAACTAGACATTGAGGTAAAACAATACGCATTTGCCTTGATCTGCCCTCAAGTGTGGAAAGCCTGATGGCAGCAGAGCACAGGTATCAGACGTTTTGGCTGGGGCTACTACAGACGTCTAGAGGCGTCCTGAAGCACGGAGCGCAAAAGTGTTATTTCTTCATGTTAGTAGTCTTGTTGTTTCCCATAATAAATGTAATGCCAGTTGTTGTCTTAAATTTGAGCACTTTGGTTTACTTTTGCGTGCACTCAAAAGAGTAGAGTCAACAGCAGTCAAATATAGCGGGCGCCGCTACATTTGGCGAGTGAGTAAGCTGGAAGCCCCAAATTCACTCCAGGTGCCAGAAAATATCTAAATCAGAATGAATCTCTCTCAAATTATAATGTTAAGCTCTTTGCGGCTTTACTGAAAGGTGCAGTGTGGAAGAGATCCTACAAAAAGAAGAATTTGCATACAAGCCCATACAGTGACAAAACTTGCACGTCTCGGTGTCCTGCTTGGCGTACGTGTCGACACGAAGTCTCTCGACAACGTTCAGAATTTTTAAAATTGTCTACCTCCAATGACTTTCTATGTGAGTCATCAATGAAGTAGCTTGGACTTTGTGTTGGTTCGATCCAAGCGAGGGAGCACCAAAGCTCAGAACGGCTCCCAATGCGCCTTTTTATTCGAGACCGCATTTCCATGGGGAAAAGTGTGGAAGCTTAGCATAAAATCTGCCCACTTGCGTTGCTAGAAGCTTGTGCTGGGTCCGGACTGAACGTTGACTGCAGTGAGTATCTAACCGGGAAACCGACTACACTGCTGGGGACGACGAGCCCCGCGTTTCCCATACGAGCATATTGAAAAAAAATGGATGCTGCTGGGGAGGTTCAACGCCTCCTGCAGCTTGTACGCAGCAGGATGAGGCACAGGTCTGGGCCGCACCATACCAAGCTGTCGTACCAGCACTTTGTGAGTGATGAAGAATCAAGTTTTGCACCACTAGTTCTCTCAAGGAAGGAGTAGCTGTGTTATATATGCAGTAAACTGGATCAGCGACAGCCAAAATGGTGTGCCACCTTCCCTTCGTCTCAGGTCGAGGCGTTCGAAGATATGGCGTCAGCTTTCGACTCGATGGCTTCTGTGCGACTGCCTCTGTGTCTCGTCCTAGACGCTGCTGTGGATCTGACTCTGGGCTTGTTCAGAATGGGCCTTGCAGATCTGGCATTGTGCGTGCTCCGCCTTAAGGAGCCAGACGCTCTAAACTTTCTGAATGGCACTGCGGCGGGGACTGTGGCGCACACCACAGGAGAGCCCACAATATGCCCTACTTGCGCTCGCCAAAAGAAGGCTGTCGAAGCTGAGCACAATGAATGCGTCTCGGGTTATCTAGATAATACAGAAGCCCCCTGCACCAATATAAAAAACATGCATCTGCTGCAGGCAGCGGGCGGCTTCGTGTTGCTTCACGCATGTGCAACTGCTGCTCGCTGTGGCCGCGACGACCACAACTGCGCTGACGCCGACAGGCGTGAAGCCATACTGAGAAGGATTGAGAGTATGGAGGCGCTCCTAAGGGCATGGGAGGCTATCCAGAGAGCCACGAGCCCCGCTCACATGCCGGCCGAGCTCCAGGGTTACGTAAACACAGCGGTGGTGCTTAGTGGGCGTCTATGTGAACACCTTGGGTCAAGCGGATACATGGACACAGCAGCTAATCTGCTCAGCAGTTGCTTGCGCCGCGTAGACACTTTTGAAGCACCCATGTCTTCATCTTATTGGCCCTTCTGGTGGCAGCTCGCTCACCTCCTTGCGAGGCAGGGAAAGTGGGCTGAGGCTCACAGAGTATGCACTGCTGTCTCAAAGGCAATTTCAGAAGTAACAGAACAAACGCTTGAAACAAAGCATAGATATGGTACTGCATACAAGCAGCTGCTTTTCATGGCGCTGATGATTAAGTGCAAGGTGTGGTCCCAAGTCTCGCAGCCAACCGGTGCGGATTGTGCGCAGATGCTCCCTGGCAGGATTCCTTCAACCTGTGCTACCGTACAGCTGCTGCGCTGTGCTACTATTTTGATGTATGGGGTGGTGCCAGATGGCTGTAGCACAATAATAATAGCTGGAATGAAGAGCCACACGTCGTGATGTGATGGCCTGTGCAGATGCATTTGAAGAACTGCAGTTCGCTGTGAAGGCATTTACTTCATGCGTATCGCCTGACCCATCAACTGTTGCTCGCGTAGGAAGATCTATCGGCGAGAACGGTGGGGAAATAGGAACGCATAATTCTACTACAGTGTACCAGTATCTGCGTAAGCTTTCAGCCTCGAGCTTTGGAGAAAACAACGGACCAGTACCGTTGCTGTTCATGGACGGATGCGCAACAACGTCTAAGAGGCTGACAATTTCGCTAAGTCTTCTAATTCTCCAAACGGGCTGCCGTGATAACCGCAGGGCTGCTCCATGGACTGCTGCCGCCGGTGCATTCGGAGATGCATGCGCTAGCCACGTACCGCCAGAAGAAATACGTAACGGCCAACATTCAGCCGAGGCGGAGTCTGCAGAAACCAAAAGTCCAGTCTCTAGGAGGCGCGATGAGTCACGGGGACAAAGGAAGAAACGCCCGGTGTTGGCAGCAACAGCAGCTGGCAACGGCGCTACAGGGGATTGCAACCCAGTAGAGAGTCTGCTACTGAAGCTGCTTGAATTTACTGATCCCATGCTTTCTGATTTCATTGTAGCCGCGTCCAAGCTTGACATGATATTTATGCCAGACACCTGCGGAACCTTTTCAGACCCCAAACTAGCGATGACTGCAGGAGGCGAGCTACCACCCAAAAGCACAGCGGGAGCTCATGACTCTGCAGGACATGGCCGCAAGAAAACTTCACGGCAGTCGACTGCGGCGGGACAGAATATCTCTTCAGCAACAACCCCTCCGACGAACGAGGAGTTTCTTAAGGAACTTGTGCGGGCTGCTCATCGTGCTGCGGCGTGTTTGCCTCTGGCCACTCATGCCGAGCTCTTATGGCGTCTTGCGGACTTAAAAGACGTTTTACCACCTGGGAAGCTAGCCAAATGTTGGAAGGCCCTCGAGTATCGCTTCGTTTACATGTGAGATATAAAAATGATGGGAATCAAGACTATACCCCTACAGCACTTTGTTACTTTAGGCGCCGAGTTTTCGCGTTTAAGCTGGTAAGTGCAACGAAACAAACACCAGGGTCACCACCAAGTGCAAGGACTGGAAATTGTGTTTTTGACGCAGGGACTTTTTTCATCCTCCCCTAACAGATTTAGAGGTATTTGCTTGGGATGCCTCAGAGAATTCGCTGGCTTTGAAGAAGCTTGAAGGGTTAATTCGTTCAGGGTGGGTGGTTGCTTCATCCTGCGACCTTCAAGGGCTGCGAGACCTTGAGGAAGTCAGACTTTCCATGCCTGAAGATGATCCCCAAGCAAGTAGGTCAGCACCCCATCAGTTACTCGGAACGGAAAAACAAGGGGCCTTTTCTAAGGAGACTGGTGCAGATACAACTGTGCAAAGCGCGGGAAATATGACGGCGACACGCTGTATCAGGCTCCTCCTTGCTCGTCATTGGGACTGGGAAACTGCCCTTCGTCTCTGCAGTACTTCTTCGAATAGTGTGGCAACTGCTCCTGCTTCTGCTTTAAAGCCTGATGTTTCTCATGGGCATAGCCGTCAGGGCCAGCTGGTTGACCCTGACGGCTATGCGAAGGGAACTTCCACATCATGCAGAGTGGCTAAACTTGTCACCAGGATCCCTCTTATTTGTGGCATGCAGCTGATTGCTGCCAAGACGCCAGAGAACGCAGCTACAAAGTACAAAGCGGGAATGCGCAAGGTGGAGGCCATACCACTCAGGGACTCACAAGTAGTCGCCAATGCTACGATGCCAAAATCTACTGGGGCAGGCCAATCACACGCTCAGCAAGTGCTCGAGACAATCTGCCAGATGGAAGATGACTTAGACGATCCTGCAGCGCCACTGCGATCAGTGCGCCGGCTGCACAAACTCCTGCAGCCAGTGGCCCATGCACGTGTCGTGTGCCACGGCCTAGTGTCGAGTATTCAGCCCCCGGCAACGAATATGGTGACGTCCTGCACACCAAAAGGCTCAGAAACCACCCAACTAAATATAAGTAACAGCTTAACTCAAAAACAAAGAGAAAATTTTGGGTGTGGGGGGGACAGAAGTAGCGAAAGAACTGGTGGAAATGCTACGAACTCCGAATTCGCGACAGTGCATGTAGTGCAGCTGACAAGCTGTGATCATGTCTCTGAGGAAATAAACCATTTTCTGGTTTATACGCGGCTGGCGGCGGGAACCTCAGAATCAACTGCTGAGTCTAGCTTCCTCACAGACTCATGCCGAGCGCGAGCCTCTGGTGAGGAAGAAACGCCGTTTGTAATTGGTTCGGCACCTGAGCTATTCAAGTGGCGGCTGCGGGATGGACTGCGTTCTGCCCTACAGAGCTGTCTGGGGGTACACCACGATGTAGTTAGTATTATTGATAACTCAGCTGTTTGGCCCACACCGCCTCATCCCCGCTACAACTGCATGATGAAACTTCCGAAGAACTTACTTAAGGTCTGCAGGAGGCAGTTTTGGGAGTTGTCATCTCCTCCAGTGGATTTTCTTAAGGCAATCACCCTGCAACCAACCGAGACAGACTTAGGCGTAGTTAGTTATTTATTTCGAACATAGTACGAGCCTGATTATATGGCGCCACCAGCAGATGGGTTCTAGGAAACGCAGTTACAAGACGCTGAATATGTGGTTCAGGGAGCACAGGGGTCAAGCGTAGCAGTATGGACAGAGACCGAAGCAGAACTGCCGTTGTGTATCTTGGAGCTAAAATTGCACACTTGGAGCCTTATGCGAATGCTGGATGCGGCAATGGATGGACGTACTGAATGCCAAGTTGTTGAGGCCCTTTCAACTGGGCAAGGGTCGCCTGCAGCTTCCCAAGAAGCGGGGAGCCCTCTTCCCGTTAAAGGAAACAACCACGTTAATAGTTCAGTCCCTCCACCTACACAAGCGCAGCGATTGAGCATTGTGAATGACATATTGGCCCTATGGAGTGCGGCGCTGTCAACTGAGGGCGTTGAGGAGCTCACGAAGCACTTCTGTAGTGACTACATTTGCCAAGTCCTACTAACGGTGCGACTTGTGCATCACTTGGCGAAGCTAAAATCCTCCATGAGCTTATTTCGACTACGTTAGTTAGGCTGCATAGATTGGACTGGCAGTGGGATCTGCGGTTGAATTTCTGTGCAGCTTTGGCACTGTCACGTACTTCCAAGTGCAAGTGCGTTGTTCACCATGATGATTTCGGGACAAGAAACAGAAAGAAGCGCTGAACAAGGGCAACAACGTGCAAGCGAGCAGCAGCATGTTGAAAAGATACTAGAATTAGTGGCCGAAGTAATGATAAAATGCAAATTTAGCCACCTTCGTCCACTGGCAGCTGTAGCAACGCTTTTGTTCCACTCAACGGGAAGACCTCTCCATCAACCGTAAGCTTTCAACGCCCTCAAATTCCTTTCTTAAAAAAGGAATAATGACAAGGAAAGATGCACCAACTGCTTAGGCTTTCAAGGTGGCTTTTCCGATTTTAAGTAGGGATTTACAAGGCCATTCTATCTGTGACAAGCCCGATAACAAACTTGAGTATCAAGTTGAACGCTTGCTCCCTAATTATATTTGCTTCTGTTGTGGCGATGGCAGCAAAGGCCGGGAGCTGTTGCGGGGGCTCATAGCCAGAGCTGAGCGCTGCGCAGCTGCACTGGCGATGCCCTTTGTGGAAGCCCGCAAGGTGCAAGCTGCCAACGCTCTTTTAGCTTCGGCGGATCCTGTGGCCCACTTGGAGCAGCTCTCTCACAAAGCAAGTTCTTTGGAAGGCGCGCTTTTGTCAAGCATGCATTCACCATCGGAGCCGACCCAACAACTGGAGCATGACCATAGAGATTCGCTTGCGTGGGATGCAGAGCCTGCAGAGGCTTGGACCCTGTTGTGCCTCATGTACGATCTTGAGGCTCGAATGGCTTCAAAAGTACGTTACACCGGGAGGGAAGCTAATGTATACCGCACGCGGCGACTTAAATCACGGGAGAAAATTTGTGCGTAGAATGTTTCTGGACTGCCTGTGAATGCGCAGCCTGTCCCGCAACCGTCAAGTACATCGGCTACAGGATTGAGAGGAACCCGGCGCCCGGGTACCCCAAGAATCGTCACCATAGTGGAAGACGCCGTTAAAGGAGAGACTGCGCGAAATACTGTCGGCCAAGGTCGCCTGAACGAAAAGGAGCTTACGGACAAACACCGCGTGAAATTGAACTGCGGACGAAACTGGTACCGGAAGTGCCTAGCACTCTGCGCCCTTGCAGACTTTCTACCGCCACCAGCTGGAGCTCATTTTGTGGAGGCTGCTGAAAAGGAAGTTTCGTCCGCAGCAAGACTAGAGGGTAGTTGGATTTCTGTCGCCGGTCTCAAACCCACGGAGGTGACACAGCCGGGGCAAGGACCACCAAAATCTCGGAGGCAACTTAAGTCTCCACTTCTTGTTGGGAGGGGACCGCAATTCCTCCTTTTAAGCCTCCCAGGTGCAGGTGCGTGTCCACAACCGGCGGCAACCAATGTGGGGAGGTCTTGGAGAGTTTTATATGGGGGGTCCCTGCGCACTCACGGCGGTTTGGGTGTATCTCGACAGCAGAAGGATCTCATGGGATCTGGCCTCCGGCTTGGCCTGAAGGAAGTAGCCCGCATTTATGCTTTGAGAAATGCTGAAATCTATGTAGGTAAGCGGCCTTGGTCAAGTCTAGGAGCTGCGGGCCATCATGCACTTCAAAGCAGCTGAATATCACACCCGTAGACACATGAAGAAGAAATTGTATATGATCACTGTTCTGCCCTCGTTTGTACAGTCGCATATGAGGAAGTGGGAGAGGCTCGATCGTCGGATTTGAGCGAAACCAGCCTTCCGCTGAGCTGCAGCTGGCCGCTTCCGATTGCAATGCTTCGTGCGCGTATTTATAGCGCAGCCCTGCGTTGTTCGCTGCCACGTACTGCAGAAGTAAGTAGCGTCACTTCAAATTTCACTAGAAATTTTGGGAATAGCACTAAAAGTCGCTGGATTCGAATTAGCATGAAACGTTCTGAAAGTGCGTTGAGTGGCAAGGCAAGCCAGCAAGCCTCCAATGATTAGCGCTACATCGGAAACAAACAATCCTACTGGCCTTGTATACTGCTACTGCCTCATTACAACATGAAACCTGAGTATTAAAGAAAGCAGTAGGAAATGGAAATGAGGAGGCCGTGCGTTGGCTGCAGACAGAAATCAAAGAAATGTGGCACCTCGTGACCGTGCTGGAAGCAGGCGTAAAGGGTAAAGTGCCGAAGAACTCGAAGCTACGGGAAGATGCTTTAGGTGAAATGCCCCGAATGCCATCAGTACAAGCCCTTATCTATCAGGCTAGAAGCTTCAAAGCTTACTCAGCACTGCATGTCTATGAAAAGATTCCGGGTGCGTCTTCAAGTCAGTTAGACTGCCCATTTTGCTTCGCGTTTTGCAGCACGGTTGCCTCCACTAGTTATACGATCGATCGCCGAGAGCGTTGTTCGCTGCGTAAGATACAATTTGAGGCCTGCAGCCAACACACACGCACGCCAATTTTCCCTTTCATGACGTGCACCTATTGCGCATGGACACAGTTGGTTAGGCTTCATCACTGCAGCGTAGAAAAGAAAGCTTACCTGTCATTTCTGGGGATCTGTGTGGAACAGTCTCGGGATCAAAAGTATCGTTATTCTCTGCTGCACTGGCGAAGCGAAGCGGTTGCTGCTCTTGAAGACGCATTTCTTCAAGCCACGAACTTGGAGTTGGCTGTATTTTCTCACAGTGCAGACGTCGCGGAAGAACAACTTTCGATACTTCTCAACACATTGTACGTGTTGGTGTCGTCGCTTTCATCTCTTCCAGCGGAGATTATCCGGCCTATTATGCGGGCCTTTGCAGCCGTAGATGCTCTACCCCTAAACTCTCTACCACCACAGGCGCGCGTGATGGAGGCTACTTTACTAGGTTTTGGATGCCTCGCTGCTGCTCAATTTCAGGTAACAGCTATTATTCAAGTGTAGTCCCAGGAGAATGGCTTTTTGAGGGACTGATGTCTGCATTAAACTTGCTGTTCGCAAGTAGGCAAGGTCCTTAACTGATGCAAGACACAGCACATAGATGCTTGCAGATGCTCTCTCTGCCTTGGTGAGCACTCCGGTTTTGTGAATGCAGATACCCATAACATATGGTATAGCCTGCAAGCATTTGCCAAGATTGTTTTGTGAATGCAGATACCCATAATATATGGCATAGCCTGCAAGCATTTGCCAAGATCGTTAACGTTGCCCGCTACTATGGGCGCAGTGTTGACCTCTCTGGAGAAACTAGTGGTCTTGAGTGCATGGTTAAGTGCTGCCATTGTGTCAATCTCTCCTTTCCAGCCGTTCCATTCGCAAGCTTCGCATTTTTCAGAAGGGATCCCTCCCCCCTCATGGGTCGTTGACTGCAGAACACCAGAGGGAAGGCAGCTATGCGCCGTAGTTACCACAGCTCTGCTGGCTTCGCCTGGTGACGTCGGAGCTTCTACCCAGCGGTTGATTGATGCTGCGAAGATTATCGTGCGGCTTCGTGGAGACAAGGAGGATCATGCCTTTGCAAATCTCATTGGCTCTGTCATATCTGTTTCCCTCAAACGTCGCATCAGGCAATCCGATTGGGCGGGCATCTCAGACATAGAGGAGCTCATTGCTGATGCGGAGAGTCTTCTGGAGTTAGTGGTCCCGGAAGCTGTTGCTTCTTTACGTAGCTATGCAAAGACGACTTTCGAAGCCCATGCCAGCAATGCTGAACCCTTAGTCGAATGGCTGTACTCCCGGACGCACAGCGGAGCTGCACTTTCAACAAAAACACATGCCATTGATGGCGAGGGAGAAGAAGAACCGTCAATTCAAGATACAACAGAACGAGCTCGGCAGATACACAGCCAAGGGATGGAGATGGAAGGGCGGCTGCGAGCTCGAAAGGTTGAGGAGCGTATAGCTCCCCCAGATGACTCAGTTATCTGGATAGCTAACTTATCTTCGTTACTTCTAGCAGCCCCCCTGCACACTCTTTCCGCTTACAGGCGCATGTCTACTTTGCCAGCCGTGCCCTCGGATGCCTTTCCCCACCAGTGTTCACATGGTCTCTTTGCTTTCGATTCTATTGCAGCTGAGTTAGACATAGATTCAGATCGCGTTCCCAACTCAGGAAAGGGGGATGCGCCTCGTCTCCCAACTGATTTCGCGGATTATCAGGAGCAGACACGAACAAAATCGCCTTCCCGCAGCGGTGCTGTTTCGCCCTCCAATGGATCTCCAGCTTCCGTTTTCCGTGCTTCTGTCAGCCCGGAAAAGCGCGTCGAGCTGGTGGCCTCAGAAGCGGAGAGGCTTGCAGCTCCAGGCCAATCATCTGTGTGGCATGCCCTTGTTCTTCTTTTCCAATGGGGGGCAACAGCAGCTTCCTTTGCGGTGGCCAGCAATGCTCCCTTGCTAGCATATTCTATTATCGTGAACTTGGGCAATGCTCTGCTACTGGTCAATCCGGATGCTGCGTATCTTGCCACTTGTCAAGAAGATTTAACAGCTTCTAGCTCAGCGGATGCCTTGTTTCCTCCTGATGCTGTTTTTCTGGGCAAAGACCCTGCTGTAATAAACACAAGAGAAAGCTCCAGAGGAGGAGACGGGCTTGGAGGCAACAAGCAAGCACGACGGGGAGATGCGAAAGCCACAGGACGCCAACGAGGGTCTATTGTATCTGGCGGGCTTAACAGTAGAAGTGGCAAGGCGCAACAGCCACTTGATGCCAAGCCTCAGATTTCTCTCTCTGTGGCAGCTGGGATGATCGCTCAGGCTTGTGTAGATTTGCTTTTTCTTATTTTGCGGGAGCATCTCCATGTAGCTGACAAAGATGAGCTAAGCGTCACCAACCTTGAAGGTCAGCCAGAAAGAGCGCCGCATGAGGATTAGATCTGATCTACTCCCTACGACTGTCATTAAGCGCTGAATCATATGCATAATCTTGTACCTATCCTGCAGAAATGATGAGACTGTATTCTGTGCCCGATGAGGGATCCACGGTAGTCTACTCATCAATGCTTGAGGCCACAGAATGGTCTCCAGAGGAGGAGTCTTGCGAAACGTCGAACTCAGAGGCGGCAAACAGACAAGTTTTGTTATGCCAGCGGGCATTTGGTGAGCTATTTTGAACGTTTGACCTTTTGCTGCCAGAATACCCCGCAGGATACTTCCTAGAGTTTTGATGGCAGCGGAAAATTATGTTGCCTGCTTCTTATAGTGCTGAAGCCAAGCACCTGTAGGAGGAACCTGGCAACGCCGACTCATGCAGAACAGCAGCGAAGCGTTGTGCGCACAGATTTGAAAAGAGTGAACACGTGGCATCTCGGAGGAGTCTTTATATTTTGCGTTAGGGTCATGCTTCATCGAGGCCGGCTTCATCAAGCTGTGGCGCTTTGCCGCCGTTTCAGTAGGCTTGGAAGAGGCCCACCATTCCGATGTGCTGTTAGCCTTGGCCTTTGGGCACAGCAAAAGATCATTTCTGCAAAGAAGGAAGCTCTAAAAAATGTTCTGGAACTCATGGACGAAGCGGCAAGGGAGCAGGAGCATGCAAACGAGAAGCTTTTGGCTGCGAGGATAGCATCGCTAGAAAAGGAGCCCCAAGAGCCGTAGGCACTTGAGTAAAAGTGCCTTCCAGATAGTGCAAGATTTTCTTAATTTCGTACTTGTCGCCGCTTCTAGGCTTCATCACGGCAAAGAGGGTGTTCGAGCACCCTCAACGTAATGCAGCTCTACCTGGACTTGTTTGCAGAATGCCGGTGACAAACCAGTCCAAGAGGAGAGCAACACGTGGAGCTGAGCAGCGAACTGACAACGCGCCCAGCTCTGCACTGATTGAGGCCGAAGAATCTGCTCATACTGCAGAAGAAAATAAAAAATTTTGGGTGGAAATGGAGGCCACAATGACTGCATCCCTGGGCAGGCAGGAACGATTGGCCTGCTGGTTGCAAAAAGAACTGAACCACATGCCTATGGAATCAAACCCGTCAGATACATTGCTAATATATCTAGACAAAACGCGTAAAGCATTGTGGGAGGCCAAGTGGAGCAATAGGTAAGAAACTGTGGGAACGAAGAGGTCCACAGCCCTTCGGTAGTTTTGGCGTAATCTAGCGGTATCTCGGAAACGAGCCTGCGCTCCTCTGCGATGTCGTTCAGAGAGACATCTTCCATGGAGCAGCTTTGGCTCTCAGTATTGAGGCAGCACCAAAAGGCTGCCCAAACACTCCGCAGAGAGAAGCACTTCGAGGGGCTGTGCGAGGTCCTGTGCCGGCTCGGTGACCTGTCGTGGCTTGGCCAGAAGCAAGAACTTGCTTGCAGCTCCTGGCGTGAAGCTGTTGAAGCGTGTTTCTGGAGAAGGAACATGCTGCACGAGTGGCCTTACCTTGACACCCAATTCTTCACCCCAGAGACAGGGCAAATCGACATTCGTCTTAGAAGCCTCATACCTCTTCACCGCTGGGCCAGGTTCACACACCGGAAGTCGCACCACGAGCAACTGCATGCAGCGCTGCTGGCTTCGCGCATTCTACATGGTATCCTAATGACGTCTGCTGAGCATCCTTTGCCGGCTCAAGGAGAATGGGGAGCTACAGAGCTTTTTTCGGGCCGCAGTGATGGAGGGCTTCTGAGGCACCGCATAAGGAAACTTCACGGGCATCTAACAACGCTGCCTACATCGCTGCTCTCCCCCACACCGGACGGTAGTAGAGCTCACGCGGCTGAGCTCGTAGATGCGTTGGCTTGGTTTGCTTGCGTATTACGTTGCTGTGATTTCACGCGGGAAAAAGCGTTCCCAATCTTGGCAGTAGCAGAGTACGTGGCGGCAGATGTTTGTAGGAACATCCAGACGGCGACGTACTGCCGCCTTTTGCGCTGCTTTCTCTGCATTGAGTAAGGATTTTCCACAGACGCTCGTAGCCAGTCAGTATCGGCACATTCTACTCAAAGATCAGCCCTAGCAACAAACTTGTTTGCTTGACACTTGCCTTGCAGCTGCAGAGACCTTCAAGCCGCTCACTGGCAGCTACGGGAAATCGTCTGGGGAGTAGGAACATCAATAGCCTGCCTTTTTGAAAGAGGAGAATTCCCCGGCACCATTTTCGAAGGAGGCGATTTCGCAGTCTTTTCTGTGGCCTTGTCAGACACCCCCACTCCTGGGTCGAGCGAGAGACAACAAAGTAGCCAGACGGCAGAACAGCGAGCCCCTCTCCATGGATTTTCCAATTCGCGCAGACTCGACGATAGGGAGAATATTACAGCACGGGAGGATCTATGGAGCTGGAAACTGCACAGGTAGGCATTCAGGAGCCTTTTGGATGACTGTGCAGTAGCATCATCTATTAGACTGCGCAAATAATCCGCTTTTAGAAGAAGATTGAAGCTAAAGTGCTGAGTGTTGCGTGAACGAAGCTGATAAAGCCAAGCAAAAGTTCCTTTTTGAGAAAGCCTACTGCAAACCTGCTTCTATTTCTCTTTTGTTTTTCAATTACGCTTAAAGTCGTCTTCAGGAGCTGTATGGAGCTTCGAACGCTAGGAGGTTCGTTCTGGCCAAGGCGTCATGGATGGTCGCAGCCATCTCTAACTTGTCAGCGCCGCATTTAAAAGTGAGTCCACAAAGCCATGCTCCGTGGCTTCGACAGCATCCTAATAATTTGAGAGCATGCTTTGCTTTCACGATTAGGTCTAGCGCTGCCTGACCAGTTATATCACTGCTTGTAGTAGACCCGAGAACATTACAGTGGAGTGAGGTAAGTTACCGATATGGTGCTTTTATGGTCAGCCAGAGGAAGTGGCACAGCGGCTAGAGGGCCTCGAGCAAGTAGCTAACCTACTAATGATCACTCTGCAAGAGCTTATTCAAGAAACAGACACTCAATTACAGCCCGGGGCCCCAAAGAGACCAATTTCGCCATCTCAAGGACTTCAAGAGGGCAGCCGTGAGTCGCCACTCCTACAAGTGCCGCCGTCTTCATTGCTGTCGATACACTTTACTATATTTTCGCCACTCCTGCTCCGCGAACAAATAGGCAATATCAACATCCTAAGAGGCATCTTCATGTCTTCACAGCGAACCGGTTGGCGGGAAAGAACAGGTCCGCGGCAGAGAAAATCTCTCTTCGTAAAGTGTTGGACACTCTGCGCTCTCAGCTTCAGCAACCACTGTGGGCAAAGTGAGTATATACTAGTTGTAGTAGCTGAAGATACCATAGCTGTAGTAGCTGAAGATATGAGGCATGTTTGCCCTATAGCAGACCTTAGCAAGAAACCTAAACAAGTACACTCTAACGGTTCGGTATTGCGTGTGTGTCTCTGTAGAGAGTTTCCCACTGAAGATGCATATTTCGCCCTAATGCTGCTTTCGCAAGTGCAAGAGACCCTCGGGCACATGCATAAGGCTTATACTTCGGCAGAGGCCGCAGCGCATGTTGCAACTACTAAGGGTGCCTTTGAAAAGGGCTTTTTATTACAACCGACAATCTTAGTGAGGCTTTCTTTACCGAGACGAGTAGCCCTAGCGTAACACCGGAGCTGCTCTCCTGCTGGGTTCTTCTTTGCCGAAGGCTCAACACAGTTTAAGCATCCTCATGAACAGCACTGCAGCAGCAGTTGCCCTTGTCAGGAGAAGCTATATGAACTGTGCATAATTTACTGTTTTCTATGCGCTGGATGCGGCTGTAGAATGGGATTAGAGCTTGGCAACAAGTGGCGCGGCTCCTCTTTAGGTGCAAAAGGTTTTCGGTAGCAGCTAGTTTGGCGACACGCCTGCTTCAACTGTCGTCGGGACGTGTACTGCCGAAACTTGATCAGGCTAAGCCTTCAGAGATTAGCAAACTGCAGGAGGCCAAGGCCAAAGTGCCTTCAACTTTTCAAGAAGATCTCTCGTGGCTCCCATTACCACCCGAGGCCCCCGGCATTCAATCTGCCTCCCCTCCTGTGGAAGGGGCGGTTTGTTTACCAGGAGTGGTAGTAGAGCTTCTTGTACTTCTCGCCGGTGTGCATATTTCGATGGGCCAGCCAACGAAGGCTCTCTGCCTATGCAAGTGGGCACGGCATTACGCAAAAGAAGCTCACGTTGACGGTGAGGTTGCATTTGCAGATGCAAGCCTGTTAGCTTCACAGATTGTCGCGGAGTGCCCTGTTTTGTTGAAGCTTGCACAAGTGGATGATGGCAAGGTGCAGTTGTGCCAAGCAGACGTCTTCGAGGTGCACCACAGCACAGATGCACCTGAAGCCGACGCAGCGGCACAATGGGGCCTCATTTCAGGCTTAAGAACCGATGCTCTGAAACAAGCAGAAATGCATTTGCAACAAAAGTCTCTCTCGGAACTTGGCTTTTCCGGAAAGCCAGATGCAAGAGCCAGAAATTCCCCACCCACAGAGGGCCTTTCAGATATCCCTGTAGGCAAAAAAGATAACGGACGCGTTGGGCCAACGCGGGCGAGTGCCCAGGATTTACCAGGAGCTCCACTCTGGCAGCCTGCAACAATCCCAAAATTGCATCACCTTGACTTCAAAATGGAAAGACCTCCTGGAGAAGACTCAACTTGCAAAGACCATCGGAACTTGTTTAACAATTGGAATCAACGGAGGGCAGCCCTGCTCCTTGGCCTGGCAGAGGCTTTTAATCATCAACCGGGAAAAACTGCAGAATATTACAAATTAGTGGCCTTAGCTGGGCAACAGCTGCGGTGGCTGGGAGAACCCAGCCCGCCCTTATGTGCCCAAGTGTGGCTCCACCAGCTGCACGTTTATCGCTTGCAGCAAGAAATGCAGCTGGGGTCCCGACGCATTCCTGAGAGCAACGACACGGGCAGAGTAGAAGCAGCAGCGGCTGCAGATGGACTGGCGACTCAACAGTTTCTGCGATACTTTCAGATTGTCGTTAGAGTTGCTGCGTTCATTGATAGATACTGCGGGTCGGACTTGTACCTCCACAGAACACTATTTTCAGAGGCTTTGTTGCTCTCTGTTCAAATGTTGGCGCTTTCGAAGCGGCTCGTCTCGCAAATGCAACCTCAGTCGCCAGCCGACGATTCAAGTGAACAAGCCAATGAAGCTATGCTCAAGAGAGTTGCCTTCCAAGGAGCGCAGCTTTGCATGTTAGCTCTTTTTCAAACTGAGCAACAGCGCCAGCTTACCCCGTACCAGTTAAAAGGCGCGGACCTGGATGCAACTTTGCATGCTTTGCGCTGCCTCAAGCCGCTTGTCAGGCTCTTCTTGGCCATGCGAAGTTCCTACTTTGATGGAGGAGCCTCAGATGAAAATTTTGGAGAAGGTAATGCGTCACACTGCAGTGAGTTCCGTGCGTATCCGACTGCAAAACACGCGCCTAAGTTGTGGCTTTCCACTTAATGATATTTCTCTGCTTAAATGATGTTTCGATGATTCAGACAGCCTTACTTGCGCAGCAGCTCTTGCTGTTTTGCAAGAAGCGGCTCGTCGATGCCGGCTCCTCGGAGACTGGCTTTCGCTGGATCGGCAAGTTGCGAATTGCCTGCACCTGGTCCTCTGCAGCTTGCCCAACATACAAAGTGCCATTGGGCTATCCCCGATGTTAGCTTCGGAGGCGTTCGCTGGGTTTGTTGGAATGACAGAGGAGGAGCCGAAGCGAAATGCAGCCTCATCTGACACCAATGCTGGCAAAAAGGATGTCCAAAAGGACAGCAAAAGCCAAGTGAACGACAGCCGTGATGCACCTCTGTCTTCTTCGTCTGCCTTCTTTGACGGCTTTAAAATCCCGCAGTTCGCCCAAAACAGCCAAACTACCACAGCTCAGCTCCTCTGGCTTTCCCCCGGGGCTGTAAACCAAGAGAGCCTCGAGCTGCTCCGCCGAACTCTCGGGGCTTCAAGCTGTGGCGCAGCCGGGCCGTACGCTGCTGATACTTCACCTTTTAACCGCGCCACTGTAACAAGCACAACAAGCCGAGGCCAGTTCTCGCTAGCTGTAGAAGGAATGCACCATGAATCTACGCAGCATCTCACGAAGAGCGTGGCGCCAACGCAGGATGCTACTGTTCTCGTTGCGATATTCGCTGGACCAGAGGTGATTAGCAGTTCCGACTTTGCAGTTTGAAACCTCCCAGGAATATTCACTAGACGTTATGTCATATTCTTCATTTTTCAGTTCGCGCATGTGCTTCTTTTCCTGTGCAAGATCGCAACGAGCAACGGATCCTCAGAGGCCTACTCTGCGAGCTGCGGCGGCGGGATTGCCGTGTGTGTGAAAAAATGTAGCAAACAAAGAATTCAAGCTTTGGCGGGTGCCTGCCACTCAGCAGCCGTCGAGTGGCGCAGGGAACTGAAGGCGCAGCAAATCTCTGCGAACCACTTTTCGGGCGTTCGAGCCGAGGAAGACTCCCTCGAAGCGCGCACACTTGACATATTTGCTCGCGTCTTTGTCGCACTCAGCGAAGGCAAGTGGCTGTGCGCAGGATCTGAAGAAACAAGCGCGTTCGGAACAGATCCTGCGGAGCAGCCTTTGGCCGCCAGCGACAAGACAGACCCTCCACAAAGACGGCCAGAGGGAAGCCACCCACACCAAGACAGCAGCAGCAGCAGCAGCAGCAAAGGGGAAGGCAAAGCGCCGGCTTCTGTTTCTGGCGCAGCAGACCAAGTGAGCTTGCATGTTGCTGCGGCGCGGCAGGCAGAGTCGCCGAAAAGCGCTGCAGACTACGGAGGCGTGGCAGCTCTGAAACTCACGAGTTCAACTAATGCAACAAATGCAGCAGATCGGAAGCACAGCTTGTTCCGAGAGCCCTCCGCCTCCGCCATGAATAGGCGCCACTCGCGAGCGAGAAAGAGCATTGTGGACTTCCTTGCTGAAACATCCGGTATTCAGAAAACAACGCTCGAGGCCGAGAGATCAGAAAGCTACTCCGCAGCAGCGCGACTCTGTGCAGAGTTAAGAAGGGAGTCCCGCTCCGCAGAAGAAAGCCACCAAAAAACCCCAAAAGCCCTAGATCGCTCCACTCTTAAGGAAAAGGGGAGGTCCCAGACTCCAGTTCAGGTCAGACCCGAGGAGCTGCAAGGAGCTTGAAGTCCATTTTAGCATTTAAAATAGAACTTTTCGCGGCATCATTACAAAATGCAGAAAATGCATTTCAGCATCTAAAGTGGAACTTTTTGCAGCATTACTGTAGAATGGAGAAAATGCTTTTTAACGTCTAAAATGAATCTTTTTGCAGCATTACTGTAGAGTGCAGAAAGTGCTTTTTAGCGTCTAAAATGGAAATGTTTGCAGTATTTGTGTAAATTGGAGTAAATTGGAAGACGTTTGTGTTTTCCGATGCGCCTTAGGCGACTGAAGAGAGCCCTGGCCACGACGGAGGAAGTGCAGTTGTTGATACACTTGACCTCTTCAGCTCCTTTTTAGGAGTTAGTGCGATTGCTGCTGAATGCAGGCTGAAGCCGGCAATAAAATTCCTCTATCGGGCTCTTTCAAGGCACCAAGTTGCAGTCCTTAGGGACTCAAATTCTTCGCAGACCTAATTCTGAAATTCTGAACTCAATTATAATACTTCAAGGAACTTCGATACTTCAAAACAACCCGATTGCTGGGGTTGTGTGCTTCACAATTTCGCTCTAAGACCTGCAACATTGGAGGAAATACTAGTCAAAGTATAAAGCCATATGCAGCTTATCTGTGCATAGAGACAGTAATGGTTTGCAGATTGTTTTTTGTTCAAGAAATTGCCCCTTCTAGCGTCCAACGGATAAAAATGCATTTTCCTGCGATAATTGTTAATTAATTAAAGAAGATTCATAAATGTGCACTTCACATTTTCTTTGCATGCAACATTTTGCCTTAATTTGAAACGGAAATGGAGCCAAACAAAAAACCATTGAAACCAAACACGGTAAACTCAGTAGAGTCTAGTGCATGCGATCCTTCCTGGGGAGATCTATTATTTCCAAACTATGCAGTTAAGTTTTCTTGTAAAGTTTCTAGTTTTATTAGATGATATTAATATTTTAAAGTGCGAAAAGTGGGAAAAAGTAATTCACACCGCAGCGGAGGCCACGGGATCTTGCTCTTTCCACTGTGGGGCTTCGGAGCTGTCTTAATGCCTCAATTTTCCTTCGTTTTCCACTTTTTGTTTCTTTCTTCTTCACAAATTCCTAAAAATACATTTTGCGTCAATTTGCATGCACTTCACGGCGGCTTCAGCGGCCCCGTGCAGCCCTCTGTCGGCTCCGGCCTGTGCAGCGAGCCTTCTTCAGGCAGAACGTGTCCTTCGCAGTTGAAAATAGTTTAATTTTGCGAATCAACTCAATTATTAATTAAAAATCTGCAAATTAATTTGATTTAAAGCCAAAATTCTGCTTTTTTTGCAGAGGCGCTGCTCTTAAGCCCAGGAAGCAGCAACACTCAATGCAAGAACTTCGAAGTTGCATTTCGTTTCGTTTTGACGAGCCCGTAGCAGCAGCTAGCTGAGGGTCCAGGCTTTACTCCCTCGGGTTTAGGGTTTAGGGTCTAGGGTTTAGGGTTTAGGGTTTGCCGCCGCTCATGAGCGCCTTCTCCTCTTTCTGCGTTCCCGAGGTAGAGGGCTGCGGCCCCGTGCGCAGCGGGCGAGGAATTTCGAAGCATTTGGTGGCTATAGAGTCTGTGGGGTGCCTGCAGCTCAGCAGCAGCAGCAGCAGCAGCAGCGGCGAGCCCGCGTGTCTGCAGCACATCGTCGGCAGCAACTTATCAACTGATGTCTGCTGTATCGACAGCAGCAGCACTTTGAGTTTGCTCGACGCGCAGCAGCTGAGGTGTACGTACACCCTAGCCAAGGCCCACGCAGCACCAGTTACTTGCTGCTGCTTCCTGCACAGCAGCAGCAGCGTGCTGCTGACATCTTCTCAAGACGGGGCAGTGAAGTTGTGGGACTTGCGGCAGCAGCACAGGCCGCCCCCTGCTGCTGCTGCTGCTGCTGCTGCTGCTGAGGCCACTGTGCAAATTGCCCCGCCCGGCAGCCGCGCAGCAGACTTGTGGGCCCTCGCAGTTAGAGGAGATGATTTAGTTTTTGCTGCTGCTTTTAAAAACACAATTAAGGGTTTTGACCTGCGGGCTGTGTGCTCCAGCCCGACCTCCGACTCGCCAAGCCAGCAGCAGCAGCAGCAGCAGCAGCAGAGGCCGAAGCTGAAGCAGCGGCGCAGCAAAAAGCTCCTCTGGGAGCTGCTGCTGCACGGCGACACTGTGACGGCGCTGCAGTTCCACCCAGTGCAGCAGCAGCTGCTGCTTTCAGGGGGCGAGGACTCTCTGGTGTGCGTGGCGGACACTGCAGCAGCCAGCAGCAGCAGCAGCAGCAGCAGCAGCAGCGAGGAGGGGGGGGGCCTCGTCTCCTGCTTCTCGCAAGAAAGAGCTGTCAAAAGCCTTTCTTTGGTGGGCCCCGGGGCCTCCTGTGTCTGTATTTGCAGCGCAATGGAAGATGTGGGTTTGTGGCAGCTGGAGGGGCTGCAGCACTACGCTGCAGCAGCAGCAGCAGCAGGAGCAGCAGCAGACGCTGCAGTGGCTGCACACCGCAAAGCCGAGTGGCTCTCCATTCGCAGCCACCCACAAATCCGAGAAGGAGAAAGCAGCGGATATATAATCAACACCTTTTATGACGAAGACCTCGGCCGCCTCTTCATACTCGCGGGTGCGCAGGTGTACATACACCTGAAGACCTACGCATGCATGCATGCATGCATGCATGCATGCGTTGTTTCTGTGTATTTCTTTTAATTCTTTCTTGTTATTTCTTTTTATTTCTTTCAACTCTTTCCTTTATTTCTTTTTATTCCATTTTATTTCTTTTTTGCTTCTTCTAATTCTTTTTATTTCTTTTTATTTCTTTTCATTTCCTTTTAAATTATTTCTTTTTACTTTTGTTTGTTTCTTTTAATTTCTTTTAATTTCTTTTTATTTCTCTTAGGGTCTGTCTCTGGGCAGCTGCTGCTGCTGCATGCCAATCTGGACGGGGTGGAGCCCGCGGCGGTTTTCCGCAGCCAAAATGGGCAGGGCCACTGTGGGGTTATTCGGTAGGCCCCAAACCCTAAACCCTAAACCCTAAACCCTAAACCCTAAGGCCTAGAATCACCTGAGACCCTTTCGTTTTCCGCAGCCAGAATGGGCAGGGGCTCAGCGGGGTTATTCGGTGGGCCCCAAACCCTAAACCCCAAACCCTAAACCCTAAGCCCTAAGCCCTAAACTCTAAACCCTAAACCCTAGAAGAATATCTAGCCCTTGGCTTTGGCCTGCTAAACCCTCGGCCGCCGGAGCTGCAGCAGCTCGGGTGTACGTACACCTGAGAACAAACCCCCCATCTGCCTTTTAGTGGATAAGAGGGCGGCAAGCTGCAGCAGCAGCAGCAGCAGCAGCAGCAGATTTTTCGGGTGTATGTACACAGGGGAGCTGTCAGTACAGCTGGGAAGGGAACTCACGGATTTGGACTTCTCACTTGCGGCGAAGACGGGAGAGTTTGCGCCTGGCGACAAGTAAAACGATATTTAAATAAATTTTAATAAATTTTAATAAATTTAAATAGATTTAAATAGATGCAATTGGATTTAATTGGATTTAGATAATAAACATGAATGTCAATAGATGTATGAGTGGGTTTTAATATGTTTATTTACTTATATTTTGCTATAACATATGTATATGTATGTTTACCCATAATTGTTGCAGATATATTAGTGTCTTTTATGCACATTATGTATACTTAATAAAAATTAAATATTTATTATTTTATATATGTCTTATATGTGTTGCAGATATATTAATGTCTTCTATTAATATAAATTATATGTTTATTACTTTACGTATGTTTTGTATGTGCATATTCTATATTATAATTTAACCGCTGAATATATTCATATATATATACATACATCTATATGTTGCTTATGCATGCATAATATATATATATTTATTATATATATAATTAGAAATATATATATTTCTATCTTTTGTATAAATATGCATGCATATGTCACGCATGCAAAATGCATGTATGCGCATTTGTGCTTTTGTTTTGCTGCAGCGCGGCTACGAGAGCCAGACCAGCAGCAGCAGCAGCAGCCGCAGCCGGCACGCTGTGCAGCCCTATTGAAGGAAGCAATTTCTTTTCTTTACTTAATTCTTTTCATTTCTTCTTTCAAAAGAATTTCTTTTTGCTGCTGCTTTTTTCTTTTTTAATGTTTTGCATTTGCTTCCCACAAAGCTGCATTTAGGTGCCTCTCTCAGGTGTACTTACACTTGTAGCCAGTTGCTGCTGCTGTTGCTGCCGCTGCTGCTGCATGCAGGGGGGCTGCGCAGCAAGCCTTTCGCTGTTGTCTATATAGGGGGTTTATTTATTTAAACTTGGGGCTTCAGAAGCACAATAAAACGCATGCAAGCTGCAGCAGCAATATGCAGCAGCAGCTACTCAGCTGCTGCTGCCACAACTGCATTTGTTATGTCCGCAACAAACAAAACAGGCAAAAGAGTCCCCTCTGTCGCGGCTGCACCGCGCTGCTGCTGCTGCAGCTGCTCTTGCTGCTGCCGCTGCAGCTGCTCTTGCTGCTGCTGCTGCTGCTGCTTGCTTCTGTGGACTCCGTAGAAAAGGAGGAAAATGTGCGAAAAACGGCTGCGCAGCATGCAGAGCCACCTGGAGCTTTCGAGGCAGCAGAAAGAAACTAAACCCTCACACCCCACCCCCGCTGGTTTGCTGCTGCTGCAGCGCCAGCAGCAGCTGCTGCAGCAGCTAAAAGTCTCAGCTACCACAGCGCAGCGGGGCAGCGGGTCGCTCGGCTGGGGGCCCCGCAGGGGCCCCCCAAGGCCCTGCCCGGGCCCCTTCCCGTTTGCCCGTGCAGCAGCAGCAGCAGCAGCAGAAGCAGCAGCAGCAGCAGCGCTGAAGGGGGAGTCTGGGCCCCTTAATGTACTTTCTTCTTTTCGTTTGATAGTGGCTGCAACTGCGCGAAGGAGAAGAGCTAGAAATAAGCCATAATGTCTCCTGTCAGTTTGCTGCTGCAGGCTGCGGGGCCCCTCTGTGTGGTGCTGCTGCTGCTGCTGCTGCTGCTGCGGAAGGGGCCCCCATGGGGGTCCCCTGAGGGCCCCCGCAGAGAGGCCCCCGGGGAGGCCCCTAGCGGGTCCCCCTAAGGGAACTCCCGGGGGGCCCCCAGGAAAGGCTTCATGGGGGGCCCCCGGAGGGCCCCCTAAAGAGCCTTTTGGGGGGCCCCTCGAGGGCCCCCTGGTAATATTTTGTGGGCTCTGCCACTGGGCCAAAGGCTGCAGCAGCAGCGGGAAGAAGTTCTTTTGCTGCCTCGGCACATCTGTTTTGCTGCACAGCAGCAGCCCGTCTGCCTGTGGGGCCCTTTGGAGGCCCTGGAGGCCTAGACGCAGCAGCAGCAGCAGCAGCAGCGACGAGCTGCATGCGCTGCATGCACAGGGGATGCTTCGCTCTGCTGCTTCTGCTGCTGTTGCTGCTGCTGCTGCTGCTCTTCCCGCGACTGTACAAATCGGGGGGGCTGCAGCGCACTCGCTGCACAGCGGCAGCAGCAGCAAGAGAGTTTCGGACCTGCTACTGCTGCTGCTGGCTGCTGCATGTGTTTTGCAGCAGCTGTTGCTGCTGCTGCTGGCCCCACATCCGGGGGCCCCTGGGAAGGCCCTCAAAAGATTCTCAAAAGCGAACACTTGGTATTCTGCCCAGCTGTGGCTGCTGCTGCCAACAGCAGCAACCCCTGCTGCAGCAGCAGCAGCAGCTGCTGCTGCTGCGCCTTGCTGCTGTGCGCAGAGCATGGGCGACTATGGGGGAAGCCATCAGCTGCAGGCCGGGTCTTCGGGATCTTCAACTGAAAATACTTCTTGCCCCCATCGAGTTTAATAAAAACAAAAATAATTGGAGTTAAATGGTATTCTTTGTCGTCCAAGACTTTAAAGTTGTCCGGGTAAAAAGACAAAAAGTCACTTCGCAGCAAAACTTGAACTGGGGCCCCCCTGGCTGGTTCGCAGGAAGGAGGCCCCCTGGCGCTGCGTCTTCGCGGCGAAATGGACAAATAAAGAATTAAATTAAACAGAAAAATGAAAACAATTATAAAAACTGAAAAAGTAAGGAGTAAAAAGAAGCAAATGGACAAAAAGCAGCTTTGCATGCGGCGCGCTCTCTAGGCAGCGGCGGTGGTTGGGCTTCTGCCTTCTGCTGCGTCTCAGGAAGTGAAACTTGGAATGAAACTTTAAGAATTAAATTAAATTAAATTCATATTTTGCTTTTGGATTCATAAAAGCTTTTGTTGCGCCGCAACGAGCTGCTGTTTGGCCGGCGCATGCAGAGGCTGGACTTCTGGTGTTCTGCAGCAGCGCAGCAGCAAAGCTAGAAAGCAACTTTCTCTTGAAATTTTATTCTAATTTTTGCAAAATAAAGAAACCGAGGGGTCTAGTATTCTTGTTACTGGCATTTGGCGCTGCAGTTGGGGTGTACGGACCCCAGCGAGCGCCAGCTGCACACAGCTGACCCGCCAGCAGCAGCAGCAGCAGCAGCAGCGGCAGCGGCAGCGGCACAGTATCCATGCTCATTTCAGAAGCCCCGAGAGGCGCAGGGCCTCTCTCGGCGGCTGGCTGGCTGGCTGGTTTGCCCGAGGGCCTCACTTTGTCGCCCGAGGGTTTAGGGTTTAGGGTTGAGGGTTTAGGGTTTAAGGTTTAGGGTTTCGGCGGGCTATGCGGATTCCGGCTGTTGTGGGGGGCCTCAATGAGTCTGCTGCTGCGGGGGCTTTCTAAGGCTCCTGCAACTTGGCCTCAGCAGGTTACAATCAAAATTTCTTTTTTCAAAAACATTTCATCTTTTCAAAAGTCCCCACTGGGGCCCCTCTGCATGCAAGGGGGCCCTGCTGCTGCCTTCAGTACCCTCTTGGGGGCCCCCCGGGGGTCCCCCCGGGGAACCCTCCCAAGAGTACCCCCGGGGCCCTGGCCGCCCTCCTGCGGGGCCCGCCTTCTCTCTGGGGGCCCCGGGGGCCCCCGCGGCTCGGGGGGCCCCCGGGGCCCCTGGGGCCCCGGTGGCCCGGGGGGCCCCGGGGGCCCGGGGGGCCCCGGGGGCTCCGGGGGCCCGGGGGGGCCCCCCGATAAGGACTTGTACGGGATTTTGGGGGTAGCAGCAGAAGAGGGGCCCCGTGGGATTCGTGCTGCTTATTTGCGGCGGGTAAGGGCTTTGCATCCAGACGCAAATGTTGGATGTCCGAAAAGAAAAGAAAAAGAAAAAGAATTTAAAGAAGTTCGAGAAGCTTATGAAGTGCTGGGGGACGCTGCGAGGCGGCGGGAGTACGACCTG